ATGCAATCTCCATCAAAATCCCAGAAGAATTCTTCATACACCTTCAAAGAATAATACTCAGTTTCATATGGAAAAACAAAAAAACCAGCAGAGTCAAAACAATCCTGTACAATAAAGAAACTTCTGGAGGCATCACAACCCCTGACTTCAAACTCTACTACAGAGCTACAGGAATGAAAACAGCCTGGTATTGGCATAGAAACAGACAGGAGGAACAATGGAACTGAATAGAAGACCAGGATATCAACATACACACCTATGAACAGCTTATTCTTGACAAGAAGCAGATCATTTAAAATGGAAAAAAGAAAGCACATTCAACAAATGATGCTGGCATAACTGGATATCAACGTGCAGAAAAATGAAAATAGATCCATATTTATCGCCATGCACAAAACTTAAGTTCAAATGGATCAAAGGCCTCTACGTACACCAACCACACTGAACCTCACAGAAGAGAGAGTGGGAAGTACACTTGAATGCATTGGCACAGGAGGCAGCTTCCTAAGAATGACCCCAGTAGCACAGACACTGAGAGAAACAATTAGTAAATGGGACCTCCTGAAACTGAGAAGCTTCTGTAAAGCAAAGGACACAGCCAACAGCCTACAGAATGGGAAAAGATCTTCACCAACCACACATCGGACAGAGGGCTGATCTCCAAAATATACAAAGAACTCAAGAAACTGGTCATCAAAACTGTAAATAATCCAATAAAAAAATGGGATACAGGCCTAAATAGAGAACTCTCAACAAATGAATCTAAAATGGCTGAAAACACTTAAGGAAATGTTCAACATCCTTAGCCATCAGAGCAATGCAAATCAAAACAACTCTAAAATTCCATTTTAAACCTGTAAGAATGGCTAAGATCAAATACACGATGACAGCTTACACTGGAGAGGATGTGGGGTAAAGGGAACACACCTCCACTGCAGGTGGGGTTAAAAACTGATACAGCTGCATTGGATATTAGTCTGGCGATTTTTCAGAAAATTAGAAAACAATCTACTTCAAGCCTCAGCAATACCACTTCTGGGTATATATACCCAAAGGATTCTCAATCATACCACAAGGACATTTGCTCAACTAGGTTCATAGGAGCCTTAATTTTCATAACCAGAACCCCAAAACAACCTAAATGCCCCTCGACTGAAGAATGGATAAGGAAAATGTGCTACATTTATCCTATGGAGTAGTAATCAGCGGTAAAAAAATAATGATATGTTTAAATTTGCAGTCAAATGGATGGATGGATCTAGAAAACATATAGAGGGAGGTAACACAGAACCAGAAAGACAAATATAATATGTATTCACTCATAAGTGGCTTTTCGGCATGAAGCAAAGTAAAACCAGCCTACAGTCTGCAATCTCAGAGAACCTAGACAGCAAAGAGGACCCTAAGAGAGATATGCATGGATCTAATCTACATGGGAAGTGGAAAAAGTCAAGATCTCCTGAGTAAATTGGGAGCAGGGGGATTATGAAAATGGTAGAAGAGGATGATAGAGCAAGGGAGGGGAGCAGAGAAAAATGTGTAGCTCACTAAACACAATAAATAAATAATACCAGTCCTCACCAGAAAGAGTCTTATCTTGAAATGCAGTCCTTACTGTATTACCTCAGTCCTGGGTCTTAGCTGGATACATTTTTGTACTTTAACTGTGCTGCTTTCATAACTCTATGCATCTTTCTGACCTTCTTATCCTGAAAGAACAGGCTTTGGAGATGTAGAAATGGCTCCACAGGCCTGGCAGCAAACCATTCCACAATGACCTACCCGGAGACTGTCTGTGACGGCTGTGCATGGAACATGGTGTGCCCTTGCATACGTGTCACCCCCTAAGCAGAGTGCCAAGCTTTCAGTAAAGCTCAACTGCTTCCACGAGGGCTCCAGCCCCTCCCACCCCGGTGTCACCTCTGCCATTACAAAGGAAAAGGTTCTCAATGCTCGGGTGCCATCTGCTCTTGTCACTTTGACACACACATGTAGGAAAGCCATGCTGACCACAGTGTCAGAGCCCTGGTCCAGCGGAGGCTGTAGCCTGGCAGTGACTAGGACTGGTCATTCTTCATGCACTCCTGGAAAACCACATCATGGCGACCTCACTTGTAAAAAGCCCCTCCAGGAATCGGTACCGCTAAGTCTGGAAAGGCTCCTGGAGCTGGAGAAATGTCTCAGAGGCTAAGAGCACTTGCTGAGTGGACTGAGCTCAGTTCCCACCACTCATATGGTGCCTCAGAACCATCCATAGGCTCGTGTGTGGTGCACGTACAGGCAGGCGTAACACTCATATGCATAAAATACATCTTTAAAAAAGGTTAAAAAAAATCCCACCTGTGTGTGAGTCACTGTCCCTAGTGCATGATGACACACTTCCAGGCCAGTCAGAGCACAGGGCAGCCACGACAGTGACAGGCCTAGCCAGCCACTGCTGGCGGCAGCGCCAAGAGATGGTTTCCAGATGAGGTGTCGACATGGTAATAACAGGACAAGCCCTCACTGGGAGACTACAGGGATAGCACTCACCTCCGGCACTGAGGCAAGCTCTCCAGCACAAGGGGGTAGTTTGAGAAACTCGTGTATGCCACTTGACAGCCTCCCTGTGCTCAAGGACTTCTCTGATGAGCTAACGGTGACATGCAGGAATGTGAGGCTCCTGGTAGCAGGGAGTACACAGAAAGGCACTGGCATGCATAGCTCCGTGTGCTCACAGCCTCCAAGAGATCTAGCCGTCACGTACAAAACGGAAATCTGAAGCTCAAGACAGCTCATTTACTGCTTCGGGCCCCATATCAGAACAATCGCTTAAAAATACTTGTCAAGTTTGGATAGAATAGCAAAGAGTGTTCAGGGCCATGGGACATGACTCTTCCGTTATAAAATGTGTGCGGCCAGACTGTCTGGATGCCTTCCCACAGAGACAGCGTGGCAGCCGGCACTCAGCGCAGGCAAGATAAGGAACCTAGATGTCCCATTAGGTACCCATGAAGGAGAGATTGACAGAATGTCCAGTGTCCCACATGGAACCATTTCTCATTTGAAAGTCACATTATCCTCACCACGCTTTACAGTTCATGGGGTTTGATTTTCAAATGAACCCCAATTTTAATTGCCTGCATGGGGCCTCCAGGCAATTGCCAACATCACCAACCAAACTCGCTTGGGATTGGTACTTTATGGAGGTGTGATAAGGTCAGGAGGGACGTCTGATGCCTCCTAGGACCTGCCACCCCACTGATCCCCATCTCCCACTGAACTCTCTGCGGACAGAACTGAAAAGGGCAGTGCCAGCGCTCCACGTGGTTTGCTCCTGGGCCACTACATGCTCCCTCTTGCTCATCTGAGTTTTACGACTGGCCCCTTAAGTGGGGCTGTGGAGGCAACTGCAGGTCAGGTCTAGGATTTTGTGTCAACCCCTGGAGCCTCACTGTCTTGTCCCATGCCTGGTGCTCAGTAAGGCTCAGAAAGCACCCCTGCTCCACCCTGAATTCAGATGAAATGTTTCCAAGGGTTGGGGACAAGTGGGCTGGTTAAGAACAGCCAGTGTGCCCACCATGATCTTTGTGTTTACCACATGTTTGCAAGTTAGTCTGACCATGGGAGGACAAAGCTGCTGTCTCAGTTGTGGAGGCTGGCCTGGACCCTGTGCTCTGGAAGCTTTTTCAGTTACCTGGACCAGTCGACGGACTCTTGGAAGCCATACAACATGGCCAAGCGAGAGGACCTCAGCCCAGAGTTCCTCCTGAGCAACAGGAGTTGGAGGCACACATGAGGGGTCTGTTCTAGAGAAGTCACAGTCCGTGCTCTGACCCACCAAGACAATGCGAGAGTAAGCAGGAGTTCACCTCCCATCAGAAAGAAGGTTACTGCAGACAGCAGCACTCAGGGTTGCTGTGCCAGGTGCAGGGACAGGTGCATGAACATGTGTAGGGCCACGTTCATGACCAGGTTCAGGGCCGGGTGGGGTTTTCCAACAGCAATAAAGCAGCTACCCTGCTTATACTCGATATTGGGAAATAAACACTCCTCCCCCAAATCTTCAGTTGCTTGAAGTTTAAGCAATTTTTGTGGTTACTGTTGCTTTAAACCATATTAACATGGTCTCTTGTGCTCACCCAACTTTTCCCCTTAAGCAGCCTGTTCTTTGTGGATGAAGTAAAAAGGCCGCTGCCCCTGGCGGACAGGCTCAGCTAACCGTCACCCACTCGCGAACGCTACAGAGGAGTAAGGCTGCTGAGCTGACTGCAGGGTCTGGACAGCGAGGCCTCAGTTCCGGCTCAGAAGCCTAGTTGATGAGAAAAGTGTGACTGACCCCAAGGCCCACCATTCTCCCATTCTCTGCAAGTCTTAGAGTGTGGTGTTTGAGATATTTTGGCACACAGAGATCTGAGCGCATGGCCACCGCTGCAAGTTCTAGAGTATAAACTGGGATTTGTTTTTTTCAGGAGCTTCTGGTGTCAATTGTCTGGGGTGACAGAAACGCCTCAGAGTTAAAGTAGGAGTGTTCTGGGGTTCTGAGCAGGATTGACAAACAGCCCTGGCTCCCGTGTGCATCCAACACAGATATCTGCAAGCCGGATGACATCAGATTCACAGGACGAGAGACCCGAATAAGCTTCTTTAATGCTGTAGTCCATTAGCAATTAACAGAGACCGAGATGAAAGCTGGTTTTGTGAGTTTTTCCCTATTAAAATACATTAATGATATTTGAAGTGTTAATATGCTGCCGCTCTCTTTATTTGGACTGGAATATTTTTCTTTTCAAACTTTTCAACCGGCAGGATAATATATGTGGAATTCAGTAGAAGAGAGTGTTTGCAATCAGGTTATCTTAACCTGCATTATCAGTTCCCTTCCCTGAGTCGTCCTGGAAATAATTGTGTTGGATACAAGAGGAGGGATTTTAAATAAAACAGTCGCCCCCTCCCGATACCTCATGCATTAGGTACTCGAACACGCTGGTCTGAACTGCACTCCAAAACCCACATCTTACCTTCCCTTTGATGCTGAGACCACCGGTATCATAGACAATGCCCTTGCCCACCCAGGCAATGGTCTGTGTGGCTCCATCAGGGGTGTGGCTGAGGACTGCCAGAGCAGGTGGATGGAGGGCGGCTTTGCCAACCCCATAGATTCCTGTGCAGGAAAAGGGAAAGTGTGAGGTGTAGACTCACCAGTGGAGACTTCCGAGGGCCCTGCAGACTCTGATGTTGATGCTAACTGTCTCACCCAACTCACCCCCCGCCAGCTAGGGGCCAGTGTGGGATGGGAAACTTAGGTCCATTCCAACATCTAAGACCGCAAAGTACTGTTAGGCAAGAAACTCACTGAGGGAAAAAAATATCTGTACCATGTCCAGGAGGAAAAGTCAGGACGGCATTGTGAGATGATTCTTGGGTGATGCTTCAAGGCCTCTCCCACCCACAGAGGTCCCTCTACCCTGAGCTCCGAGACTTCCTCCTCCAGCCGCTCCCATGGCCTGTGTAACATAGCCTCCCTTGCTCACTCTCCACTTCCCAAACAAAGAGGAGCCCACTGAGCACAGAGGATAGACCTCAGGGTCTATCAACCATGATGAGGGCGAAAATGACCATCTAACAATCTCCTACTCATCCGGCAGGACCCACGGCAACTGCTACCTCTCAGAGAAACTTCAACATAAAGGGGCTCTGCCTCAGTGATCATGTGTGTGGTGGCGCGTGGGTGGGGGGGTGGAATTGGCATGGCTAAGACAGCCGACTTCCAAGGACACCAATGATGAGCACTGGCATCTTGACTGACATGGTCCTAGGGTGTCTGTAACAGCACTCAGAAGCAACAAAGCCTTCTCAGACTAGGTGGACATCTTGCCTGGTCACGATTCTCAACTGTCCTGACACTTTGCTCTGAGGCCCCAAGGCTAGCCAGCAGCCTGCAGCAGCTACTTTCTGAAGTCTACACAGCACAGTTGTGGCCAGAAAAAACCCCAAGTCATGAGAGGTTTGTGACCAAGAGAGCTGCTTTCTGAGCCCAGAGGGACTTGGACCTTTGAAGGACCTCGTTACATAGTCATAGGCCACTGTGATGGTGACCTTTGCCTGCTCAGCCTAAAAGCACCTCAAGAAGCACAGCTTTTCCTCCAGCCTTTAGGTACAGAGAACCGAGAAGGAGGTGGCCTTGGGAGAGGCATGTAAGTGAGGACAGCCCTCAGTGAATGGATGTTGGAGTAAAGATGTTCTATACAGAGAACACTATCCTATCCTCTAGGATGCTGAAAAAATGGCCACGACTTTGTGTATTCGAGGAACAGAAGGCCCTGCTGAGCTGGCTCTCTGAGCAGTGGTGTGGAAGGAAGGAAGAGACCAAAGACGGGAAGGACATGGGTCGAGTGGCTCCCAGGATCAGCTTCAGAGTCTGGAAGGCTGCCCCTGCCTCCCCCAGGGATGCTCTGCTTCCCAGTTCAGTCTGGGACTGAAACCGAGTATGATCCCCTTCAGGTTCCAAGTAGGAAGAGATTGGAGATCCTGTACCAAATACCGTCCTTGCCACCTAGATACCCTCAGTCTCTCCTGGAGGAATGGGGGGGGGGACAACTCTACACACCTCCAAATCCTCTGGTCTTCAGTTGCTCATCCCGGATGATGGTAGGGGTGATCCCCAACTCCTTTCCAACTTGGCTAATTTCCTGGATATATTCATGGGAAAAAACAACAAAAGACATGTAAAGAAGGCTTGACTCAAGGCGAGGCTGGGCTTCACGCCAAAGATGAGTCTATCCATGGCTGCATGGTGGGAAAGGAACCACCTCAGAGGCCAGGGGCTGCACCTCTCATGACGAAGCCCAGGGGAAAAGGCTGGCCCTGCACATTTAGCTTCCTGCAGATGGTGGCCCCAGTCCTACAGATGGCCTCGGTGAGGCCCCATCCTACCCATGCCCTCAGCGGAGGAAGCTGGCCTTTTGAGCAAGATGGACTCCAGAATTTGATGGAATTGGCCCTGGAATTTTCTGGGCCACAGAAAGTACAAACTTCAGGCTTCCTTGGCCTCTCCTTGTGGACCAGACACCCTCCCATCCCAGCTTGGCGCCTCTTCTAGCAGAAGGGTCACAAACCTCAAGGAAGATGTCTGTGTTCATCTCATTGCACGGTGTGTCCACAATGCGGGCAGCTAGCCTCACGCCTTCTGTGGCATTGGTTAAACACTAGGGAAAAAGACAAAGTTCATCACTGGGACCCTGGGACAGAGTGGGGAGGAATGTCCTTTCCTCATTCAGTTCCCCAGGGACCAAAGACTTCGAAGACATGAGACTCTAGGAGGATGCTCTGGGCTGCTCACAGGCAGGTAGGAACAGGGGCTTTGGAGATCCCCTACACATCACCCCAGGATGTTGAGGGGTGCCTTCCATGAGTCCCCTGTCTTCCTATCACCCTGCCTTCCTAGTCACTGCTGTGAGAGAAACAGGACCAAGCTCTGTCTCATGGAACTCAGGAGTCTCAGAAGACCCAGGAGAAGACAGGAAGCTGATGCCATAGACCGAAGCCAGACCTCTGGCCCTGAGCTAAGGACACTTCAGAGCCAGCCTGATAGTGAGTGAAGACGCTAGAGGTATCCAGAGAAGTGTGGTACCATGTCTCTCCAGAGCCAGGACAGCCCTAGACCCCGGCTGCCCATCTTTCTCTGCCACATGCCTGTCTTCCTCTTAGCTGACTTGAGCGGACCTCTCCCTTCATTTAATCATATGTACCCTGAACCTCGGAAGCCAGAGACAGCCGGCTACGTCAGCGCCTCTGTGCTGGCCTGAAGAAACAGATATTAAGGGGCTTGCGGAGGCGCAGGGCAGCAGCTTGAAGTTCATCATCACCTCCCCCGGACTTGTATGTCAGGAGGGCAGGCGCAGGTCGATTCTGCCAGCCGGCCACCGCCCCCGCTGTCTGATCATCACTGGAGCCACTGCCTGGCCCAGGTAATTAAACCTCGAAGGCTCCGAGTAGAGACCAGGGAGCTGACAGCTCAAATATGAGCTGTGCTCGTGAGGCCCCTGCCACCTGTCAGCGACCGGCGGCCTGTGTGGGATGTGTGTTGGGCCATGCACCAGCCTCAAGGGAGGCAGGTATGACCCTGCAGACCCTCCACAGGCATGGAGCTCCACACAGCAATGAGTGAGAGTGAGGGGACTAGAAGCCTTAGTTCCTACACGACAGAAAAAAAGCAACATCCACTCACTTCTTCCGTACATGCTTGTGTACGGCCTGCTACATGCCAGGCAGCCTGACAGACTCTCAGGCGACTGGGGGGCAATACCAGCGGATACAAGGGTAGAGCAACAAGTTAAGAGTCCGCGGGGCCCACAGCTCTAGGAAGGGGGGTCGAGGGGACACCCTACCGAGGAGAAAGGAGGAGGCAGCACAAGACCACAGAGGGTCCAGACATGGAGACATCTGACTGGCTGAGGGATGCAGGCAGCTGCTGCGGGAGGGTGGGAAGCAGTGCAGAAGGGATGGGCTAAGTGCAGGCTTCCTGGCGGGGAGCTAGGAGAAGTGGGTGGGCCTATAACTCAGAAGGAACTCTCCAGGGAGAGGAAACAGACATGGTCTCAGTGGCCATTGCCAGGTAAAATCCAGAGGCAGCAGACACCTCCCAGAGTGAGACACTGAGGGCAGAGGGAAAGGGAATGTAGCCGGATGAAGGCAGGTTGGGGGAGCAGCTGAGAGTCAGGGGCTTGAGAATCGGTGTGTATGCTTCGAGGACAGATGGCCAAACCGTGGCCCTCAGAAACCAACCAAACCAGGTTGGGTGGGTGGGTAGAAGAAGGAGTTTAAAACGCCAACCAAACCAGGTTGGGTGGGTGGTAGAAGAAGAAGGAGGAGGTTAAAATGCCAAACAAACCAGGTTGGGTGGGTAGGTAGAAGAAGGAGTTTAAAACGCCAACCAAACCAGGTTGGGTGGGTAGGTAGAAGGAGGTTAAAAGGAGTAAAGCAACTAGACTGTTGTCAAGAACGCAGAAAGCAGATTCAAGATGGTAGAGGTGGTGCATGGCCCCTTTCTAACTCTGTCAAGGAAACAGAAAACAAAGCCCTCAAGTAGGGGTTTGCTTGGGGCTCAAAGTGATAGCCTTCCTGAGACCAAAGTGGAGGGACAAGCTGGTCTCTGGCTGTTGGGTGGAAGTGACGTCAAAACAGTGGGGTTGGGGACAGCTTTGTATGAAGATAGCCAAGGTTAGGCACCTCCATTGACTGACAGCTTGGGCATGGTTTCCAGTATACACATGAAGTACCCAGCTTCAGTGAGACCACACACATAAAAATGCTCTCCAGCCAAGGGTAAAACAACCCAGAATCAAAACACAACCGTACCAGGTGCTGAGCAGGCACTAAACAAACACTAACAGAAGAGAACGGGGACCTAAAAACACAACATGATAGTGTCCTGCAGAAAAGGGAGGGGAAGAGCTCACCACCGGAGCTCCCAGTGGGCAGTGTGACCTCTAGACACCCACTTGCAAGGTGGACACTTCCACCGGGCCATTGTCTTGTCCCACCAGGAAGAACTCCACCATGACGGTCTTCTCCGTGCGCCGGGACGCCCCTGAGCGGTGTGTGAAGAGTGGGAAGGCCCGGGCCAGGGCACAGGCAGAGGCAAAAACCTCAGGCTGCTCACAGACCATCTGTAGTGAGAGAGAAGCAGGGTGGGGCTGAGGCTACAGAGAGATGACATTGGGACCCTTCAACACCAGCTCTACAGTGGACAAACCCAGAGGTCTGGGACCCACAGTAACCTGAGGCCACGTGAGAAACGCGTCTGCCACCAGACGTTGTCCACTCTTTCCCAGGCAGACAAGCAGGGCACAGACATAAGACCGGCCTCAATAAATCTAAGCTGGCCTCTGATTTGTCATGCAAACTGATCTGGTGTAAATCACTTCGTGGTTGGAGAGTTAGAGGGGGAGGTCACGTGGGCGAGAATGCTCGACCTGAGGCCTGAGGTGGGCCATTGGCCTTCTGAGTACCCTGAAGGGTCAGCGCAGTGGGGCTCTGGCTCAGCACTCACCAGGATGCACCGGTGGGTTCCAGGAGGCAGGCAGGTTCGCACAAGCCTGGTGATGAAGTGGGCGGCAGAAGGGCTGTTGTGCCGGCTCACCCTGGAAGGCAGGGCTGCCACTGTGGCACAGTTCAGGTAGAGGGGACAGCTGTCCGTGGGGTTGGGGTTGAGCGTGGCCAGAGCTGCCTGCCAGAGCTAGATCAGAAAGGAGACATGAGACAGTCCAGGCTTCAAAATGTGTGTTGTGTCAGGAGATGCCCTACAGGCCACGCCTGCTTGTCTACAGCACCCAGGCCGCCACCAGGCAGCTGTGTGACTCTCTGGCGCCCTTCCACCCTCGTGGGACTGCGCCTCGGGCTGGCAAGGCCTGTCTGGGGACCCTCTGCTTCAAACACGTGGAAGCCGGGTTCCTGGGCCTTGGCCAGTTTCCATGGAAGCGGGCGGGTCTCGAGGCCAGAGGCCACGCGAAAGGCTGCCACTGGGTTTTCTGGAAGGCCAGGCCCGGCGGCACGGATGCAGGTGGCTCGGCCTGGGCAGGCCGGCGACACGGGCCGAGCCTCGCTGAGGCCAGAGCCATCGGGACAGAAAGCCTGGCCTGTCGCGGGCCTGCGCCCAGGGCCCGGCGAGACGCGCGGGCGAGGCGGAGCCTGTGTCGCGGGGCCTGGGCTTGGCGGGCGCATGGCGGCCGCGGCCCGCTCACCTCCTCGGTGACCCGGGGCTGCAGCTTCCCGCGGACGTGGCTCCAGGGCACGCGGTGCAGGTGTTGCAGCTGGCCCAGCAACAACAGGGGCCGGCTCTGGGGGTCCGCGTCCCCGGCGCTCGCCTGGAACTGCAACCCCACGCTCGCCATCTTCCCCCCCCAAACTCCCAGCCCGGCTGCCCGGCACCCAGCGCCCCGCTCCGGCCCGGCTCGGCGCCGCCCCGGCCCGCCTGGCCTCGGCGCCCCGCCTTCGCTGCGGCTGCCTGGCCGCGCAGCCCTGCAGGGCCCACCCGGGGCGCGAGGGGGCGCCGGCGGAGGCGGGGCGCGGGCCGCACTGCGCCTTCCGGGCCACCGTTGGGGACGAGTGGCGCAGGAGTCCCTGGAACCGCTCCAGCTCCTACCCAAGCGCCTTCCAGTTGGTTCCTGGACTCGATCGATGTTGTCTCCCTTGCCAGAGGCTGCCGTGGCCACTGGGCCGGACAATTTGGCATGCAGGTCCCTCTTTTTCAGCGTGGGCCGCCTCCTCAGTCTAACCCTTGCCAGAAAGGTCACCGTGCAGCAGCCCCTGCAGCCTGCACTTGGTCACCTGTGTTGGGGAAGAAAAGTTGACAGAGTGGGGAGGTTATGGGAAGTCATTTGAAAGGAGCCAGCTGCTACCCAACCCTGCCCAAGGTCTGGACTGCTCCAGACACGGTGCTGGTGCCCCTGAGCGACCTCCAGTCTTGTATGTCACTTTTAATCTGAATTTCTTCTTTATTATCAGTCTTTACAAGTAGCAAAGCAAGATGGCTCAGTGAGAATAGGACCCAAGACCTGAGTTCTAACCCCAGATCTAGGAGCAAACCAACATCTGTAAGTTATCCATGAACTAAGAGGCAACCACTCACACCCACAACCCCCCACCCCCACACACACATACAGAAAGAGAGAGCGAAAGGCAGAGAGAGAGAGAGACAGATAGACAGACAGACAGACAGACAGACAGACACAGAGAGAGAATATAAATAAAAAAACCCAGCAAAACCAGATTCACAGCACGGTATTCCATCCCACTAACCCCGAAGGCACCACTTGCCTGTGTCACTACCCACGAGCCATCTATGGTGTCCACTGGTGTCCAGTCCCTCAGATTTGAAGGGTTCTGTGGCAGCACACAGGCCAGAGCAGGCCAGTCCTGAAGACCGGCATGGAAGGGGCATCACAGACTAGCAGCTGAATGAGCCGAGGGAATTCCCCTGAAATACTGGCTGTCCTGACACAGAAGGCAACGCTAATTGGATCTTTCTTGAAAAAGATGTTTTTTTTGCAGCAACTGCATGTTTTCACACATTGGTAAAGGGTACTAAGTGTTCCTCGAAGATCTATCCTGAGTGCACGGTGTTTGCAAATACAGTGCGAGGCGCGAGGCACTCAGGAAGGTGCCAAGACAACTGTAATCTACCTAGAGGGTGGCAGGATCAAGCTGATCCCTGTGGGTGAAGTCGGACTCCACAGGCCAGTTCCCTGTAAGATGTTTCCTGCAGGAATGACCCTGGGGGTGGGGGTGGAGGTGGACAGACGTGAGTTTGCCCAGAGTGCAGAATGGGAGCCGAGAAGCATTTCAGAGGGGTTGGGGAGACAGGCTGGTGAGGAAAGTGTGTGCCGTACAGGCATGAGGGACAGAGTTTGAATGCCCAGCACTCGTGTAAAAAGATAGGCTGTGACCCCAGCACTCGGGAGGCAGAGGCCAGAGGATTGCTGGAGCTCGCTGACCAGCTAGTGTGGGCTGTGACCCCAGCACTCGGGAGGCAGAGGCCAGAGGATTGCTGGAGCTCGCTGACCAGCTAGTGTTAGCCAATTGGTTAACTTCAGGTTCAGTGAGACACTACCCCAAAAGGAAGGTGGGGTCTTGATGGCTCTGTGAATAAGGCTCTGTCGCCAAGCCTGATGACCTGAGTTCAGTTCTCAGTTTCCTCATGGGAAGAGAGGACCAACTCTGATGCACGGTCTTGGACCTCTGTGAGCACTGTGTCACACTCAAGCACACACACACACACACACACACACACACACGCAACATAGACAGCTGTGAAGACAAAACTCTGCCCCAAAACAAACAAACAAAAGCAAAGATGGAGATTCTGTAAGGAAAGACACCTGAAGTCAGCCTTTGGCCTCTATGTTCTCCCTCTCTCTCTCTCTCTCTCTCTCTCTCTCATCTGGAACATACACTCTCACATCTGGTACACTTACACACACTCTGTCATCTGGAACACACACACACACAATCATCTGGAACACTCACACACACACACTCATCTGGAACACACACACATACTCATCTGGAACACTCTCTCACACACACACTCATCTGGAACACACACACACTCATCTGGAACACACACACACTTATCTGGAACACTCACTCACACACTCATCTGAAACACACACACACTCATCTGGAACACACACACTCATCTGGAACACAACACTCATCTGGAACAAACACACTCATCTGGAACACACTCACACACTCATTTGGAATACACACACACACTCATCTGGAACACACTCACACTCATCTGGAATACACACATACACACTCATCTGGAACACTCACACACACTCATCTGGAACACACACACTCATCTGGAACACACACACACTCATCTGGAACACAACACTCATGTGGAACACACACACACTCATCTGGAACACTCACTCACACACTCATCTGGAACACAACACTCATGTGGAACACACACACACTCATCTGGAACACAACACTCATCTGGAACACACACACAAACTCATCTGGAACACTCATTCACACACTCATCTGGAACACTCACACACTCATCTGGAACACTCACTCACACACTCATCTGGAACACTCACTCACACACTCATATGGAACACAACACTCATCTGGAACACACACTCATCTGGAACACAACACTCATCTGGAACACACACACACACACTCATCTGGAACACACTCACAAACTCATCTGGAACACACACACACACACTCATCTGGAACACACACACTCATCTGGAACACAACACTCGTCTGGAACACACACACACACACTCATCTGGAACACACACACTCATCTGGAACACAACACTCATCTGGAACACACTCACACACTCATCTGGAATACACACACACACTCATCTGGAACACACTCACACACTCATCTGGAACACACACATACACACTCATCTGGAACACTCACCCACACTCATCTGGAACACACACACTCATCTGGAACACACACACTCATCTGGAACACACACACACTCATCTGGAACACACACACTCATCTGGAACACACACACTCATCTGGAACACGCACACTCATCTGGAACACACACACTCATCTGGAACACTCACTCACACACTCATCTGGAACACACATACTCATCTGGAACACTCACTCACACACTCATCTGGAACACACACACTCATCTGGAACACACACACTCATCTGGAACACACTCACACACTCATCTGGAACACACTCACACACTCATCTGGAACACACACACTCATCTGGAACACACTCACACACTCATCTGGAACACACACTCATCTGGAACACACACACTCATCTGGAACACACACACTCATCTGAAACACACACACATTCATCTGGAACACACACACACACACACACTCATCTGGAACACTTTCAGACACCCCCCCCCGCCCATATCTATGGATAGAGGAAATGACTTCTGTGGATCACGAAGATGAATGGATGCTTCTGTTCAGCCAACATTCATTGAACACTCACTGCATGCAGAGCAAGGGGGAATGTTAGATGTTTCATATGAGCAAGGATTCCCGATTCCTAGTTTTATGCCACCCCCCAAATTGAAGAAATCCAAACCAATGAGAGCATCCCACTTGGGAGCCTAGCGATTCCTTCAGGACGACATGCATGAGATGCAGGTAGTCTCAGTAAACAGTCTCCCTCTCACGGCAGACGTCACAGGCAGTAACATAAACAACAGGGGGGCTGCTTTGTTTAGGAGCATTTTTATGAAGGTATTAATCCACCTCACCATCAAGGAAAAACTCAACCTCTACATAATTTTCTTTATTTTAAAACATGAAAGTTTAAGCCAAATGACCAGATCTTGCAACTATGATTTTGCAACTTACAATTTTGATGCCTTGAAACCAATTCCACACCCAATGGGGCATTCAGCGGCAGCTCAGAAACAGCAGGACAGTAGAGACTTCTGGAAGAAAGCAGAGAACGGCTCTCAGGAGGTATTAAGTCGCATTCTGGGACACAGTTCTAAAACCCCTATGTGTCCCCTAAGGTCATTTAGATGCACTGATCCACAAGTTTTCCATGCTGGTGGATCTGGCATGAGAGGCAAGCCTCGTGGTTTGTAGCATCTTCACTCATTCGCCTGTCGGGTATGCATTCACGTATTTACTTTGGTGCTGGAAACTGAGTCCCAAGGCCTCATCACAGTGGGCCAGCTCTCTGCCACTGAGTCCCATCTCTAGATCTCTTCATTTTTCTTTCCATTTTCAGGGTCCTATGTCACTTGACTGGTCTTAAGCTCATCTCTAGCCTAGGCTGGCCTTGAATTTGCAATCCTCCTGCCTCAGCCTCCTCAGTTCAACAGCAAACATCAGTTTTGGACAGTCCAAAGAGAGCACTAGTGAGTGAAAGCTACTTAAAGGTGTGGATGGAGGAGTCACACAGCCACAAATCCAGACACCCAGTCGCTGGGAGAGGACTGAGGCAGGAAAGACCCTGTGGGCTGGGAAAGACCTTTCACTTGGGTCTTGAGGAATGAGTTGAAGTTTGCTGGCAGTCTGATACTGCTTCAGGAAGTAACTGTTTATAGGGTGCCCTGGGGCAGTAAAGGACACAGTCCACTTGGGATATCTGAACTCACGTGGCTGGACCCAGCACGTGCCTAAGACACACCCTTAGCCATAGGCTTACACTTGCTCTTGTACACCAGCTGCAAGCGCCACAATTAAGACTCATGGGAAATAAAATCAGGCTCATTACTGGTTGATAATAATCTATAATGTTAGCACAAAGGAAGTGGGGGCCAGGTCTGGTCTGGTGATCCCTTCTATGACACTTTCCTCAAGCTACCAACTTAGAAGTGAGCCCAGACCAGTGAAGACCAGAATGCTTATGTGACCTTCCTGAACGCTGCCTCAGGCTGTGATGTCTGTCTTGCCTTTCTGTAACGTGTCCTGAGTTCCCTAAGATGAGGAAATGCCTTCTCTGCACTGCTTGCTGTAACTGGTGGTAGGAGATGCTTCACCTCTGCTCACATCAGAGTCCCCTGAAGAAAGAGGAGCTCATTGCCGTGGAAACCACATTTCTCTAGAACATTGAAAAGGTGGAAACAAAAACAGAAACTTTCACTAAGTATGGAAAGCTGAAAAGCTAGGACAATGAGAGCATCTTTGCACCCTTCAGCAAGCCACGCGTGTTTATAATCTATACATAGTCATGTGTGTTTGTGAACATAGTTTCCTATCAAATTGCACGCTTATCCCTATGAACCTCAGACTGTGTCATGAGAACAAGAACACTGGCTGGACCACATCACCCCAGCAATGGCCCATGTAGGCCTATTAGGAGTCTACACTATCCTCTAACACCGTCTCCGAGAGCTATCCTCGTTGTCCTTAGACATCCGCTGTGGCTTCTGCCTTTAAAATCCAGAATCCAAGCGAGGATCAGGTGTTCCATTTGGCTGTCATGTTCTCTAGTCTCCCTGAATCCGGAATAATCCCCGCCTCTGCCTCTCAGAACACGGACATGTCACGTAAAAGCCCCAAGTTTGCATTTGTCTGCTTCCTCACGATTGGATTTGGGTTAAAAGTGTTTGGCAACAATCTATATTATGCTTTGCACTGTCCCTCATGGGGCGGCATAGGATCTAAGTGCCGCTTACATTTGGTTTAAGTGGGGTCTGAGGGATCTCTTCACAATAAGAAGATAGTTCCCCTTTATAAATGAAAAAATTAAAAATCAATGCCTGCTTTAGAAACCAAATTCTGCCATTCATAACCACCATTTCTGTCATTTGTTTTTATAAAAAATAATTTTTTGAGACAGGGACTCATATAGCCTACCATGCTCTTGAACTCGTGTACCTGAAGCTGATATTTAACTTTAGATCCTCTTGCCTCTGCCCCTTAAGTCTAGGCTTGCTGGTGTGTGCCGTTAGCAGCTGGGAATAAGCTCAGGGTTTCATGCATGCTAGGCAAGCACTCTACCAACTGGGCCGCGTTCCCAGTCCCTACTTCCCTCATTTAATATATGCACAGCAGCAAAGGGCTCTGGCTTGCACTGTTGGTCTTCTTTCCTCAGGAGAGACAGAAGGAAGTAACTGTGATCTTATTTTGTTGATTCGGTGTTCTGAGCCGGGCACCAGGACAGACGGTTGTTTCATCGGCTGTGAGGGGCAGAGGCTATCTCCCCTACTAGATAGAACCTTTCTCTTTTCCTAGTGGGGAAACTGAGACCCCTGCCACGGCTGGAGGGACACTTTGGGGCTGCTGGGATGTCCTGGGAATACCAACTCCGTGTCTTTAGTGTCAGCAGATCCAACCCTTGTCCTCCACTAGGTGCAAATAATGGTCCTGTGGCTTCAACCTGTAGGATGTTCTTTCCAGCTACTTCTGAGCAGTAATCTCCTTCTCGCTCCCTGGGACTGGCTACAACTTTTAAATCCAATATAGAATGAAAATGCAGAATTTCTGTCTCCAAAAGGAGCAAGGCAGGGAATTAAACCAAGCCTGAGGCCCTAGGGTGCCAGCACCCTGATCCATGCCCTTAAGAACACTCACAGGTACCTGCCTGCCTGTCTTCAGTACAGTTGCTGTGATCAGTAGCAGCCCTGTAGTGCTGGCTCATATGTCCATGTAACTAACACGTTCTTACAAGTGTTCGCTGTTGTTGTTTGGTCTGGGATTATAAGATGATTAGCTCACTCTGTTCCTTCTTGCCCAAATTCTAGCCAGTCACTTCTCTAGGACGCTGTGTCTCCTTTGGCGGGCACTGGGAGTGGTTGGTTAGGCAGGAGTGCCTTGGATCCCACATCACTGCTTGCCATGGGGTCCTGGCTTTTGGTCCTATTTTTTGGGCTGAGATGAGCCAACATTGTACACCATGGACTTGGAGACGCCGTCCATGCTGAGCCTTCTGCAGCCTTCTTCCTGCCACCCACCCACCTTCCCAAGGATGATCATTTGCTCTCCAGCCAGCACAAGCAGCACCAGGCTCCATTCCTGACCACACACCTGCCATTTCTTTGTTCTTTGTATGCTTGCAGCATGCCCACCAACATGTCGGTTCATTTCTGTGTGGTTTATCTGTGACAGGCACTTAGGTTTGTGTCCAGGTGAAGGTTTTCTCTTCTTGCTTCTTGTTGTATTTTCTGAATACATGAACCATTTATACAGCTCAGAAATTCTAGCTGTAAAAAGGAATGCTGGAAAAGGGGTTGTTCCTGTCCCTGCTTCTATTCATCCCTCAGAAATCACCTTTGTACCCCCACAGGTAGCTGTTTCCATTAGTTTCTGGTTTATCTCGCCTGCCTCTTCTTTATAGCTCCTACCTCCACGCATCTGACACAAAGGTACCACACAATCTTTGCACCGTGCTTAAAAGGCAGGTCATGCAATCTCATCTCTTTGACTCTCTTCACTCTCCACCATCAGCAGGACAAGAGAGAACGTGTGTGTAAAGACAGACTAGTGGGACCATTGATTGACAAGCTGAACCTGGTCCTCTGACACCAGGTCTGGAGACTTCTGGAGAAGAGGAGGGGCTGAGCTTGTCCCTGATTAGGCTCCAAGCTCGAGGCAGCAATAACCCTCATGTCTCAGGAACTCAATTCCTATTTACCTCTGAACACCAGCACAATTATTTCTGTAGTTGCAAAAGTTTTCGAGGGCATATTGAAGACCTAGAGCCTTGGGACTGGGGAGGTTGCAGGAAGGAAGGGGAGATGATTAACAGCAACCACAGTCCCACAGTCCCTTAAGCAAACTCAACCTGTGAACAGAGAGACTTAGAGAAAGGCAAAATGGGGGTGAATGTTTCTTCTGATCAAATCTTTTCCTGAGGAAAAACCTTCCCCGGCAGGATCCTGTAAGAAGGCGGATTCCTCCAGTGTATTGAAATGAGTCATTGCAACCTGCGTCACATTTACTTCCCAAACACCCTTGTGTTTATTACACGTCTATCTGTGCTTTCCAACGCAGCCCTTTCAAAAAGAATCATAAATCTGTTGCTGAGGATTTGGGCAATTGAGTGGTGTGAGCAAAGGGTGGGGGAGGCAAGAAGCTAACCTGAAATTCTTTGTTGTTGTCTGGAGCCGTGAGCAATAGGAAGCAAATTCAATATTTTCTTCTCACAGGATCTGGAAGGTCCTTTATTTTTAAGCTGTTTCAAAGTTATGGATGGAAAATTCTAGATTTTTATGTAAGGCTATTTATGTGTGTGTATTTATGTATATGTTATAGAATGGACATTCTAGAAGGGCCTTTATGTAAGGTTAGTTCACAGTTATAGAATGAACATTCTAGAAGGGTCTTTATGTAAGGCTGGTTCAGAGTTATAGAATGGACATTCTGGAAGGACCTTTATGTAAGGCTGGTTCACAGTTATAGAATGGACATTCTGGAAGGACCTTTATGTAAGGTTAGTTCACAGTTATAGAATGGACATTCTGGAAGGGTCTTTATGTAAGGCTGGTTCACAGTTATAGAATGGACATTCTGGAAGGACCTTTATGTAAGGCTGGTTCACAGTTATAGAATGGACATTCTGGAAGGACCTTTATGTAATGCTGGTTCACAGTTATAGAATGGACATTCTGGAAGGACCTTTATGTAAGGCTGGTTCACAGCTATGGCGTGGACATTCTGGAAGGCCCCTTATTTCAGAATGGTTCATAATTAAAAATGGAAAGTTGTGGAAGGTCTCTTATTTCAGGCTAGTTCATAGTTATGGATGGAATGTTCTACAAGTCTCTCATTTCAGGCTGGTTTGGTTATGGGTGGAGCTTACTGAAATGCATCACATTACAGTGCAGGATGAAATGCTAGACCTCGGCAGTCTGGAAGCTTGAGTGGACACTCCAGCCCACGCACAGAAGAAAGCATTCCACACAGTCTCACGGTTTCCCGACATCTTCGTGATACAGTGACACCTCACACATCACCCACGAGAACTCTGAAAGGGCATTCTGAAGCCTTTCTCTCTGGGTGACAGGTACACACTCCGCAAGGGCCATTTTAAAACCAGGATTTATTTGTTGCATTGAATTAATCTGCACATGAAACTGGACAGCACCAAATCTTCAAATGAGGTGCGACTTCCCATCTCCCAGGACTCCCAGGGCTACAGAAGAGGGGGCATCCAGGTGCTGTGACCCACACACAATCTTCAGGGAGGATTCTGAAAGCTTGGGTCAGTTACCAGCTTGGGGACTCAGGAGGTCTGGGTCCCCCTGCTCTGCTGGTTTGTCTGTACTATGGGCTGGGGGCTTGGACAGCTGGGAGCCATGCAAACAGAAAACATAAGCCTCCATGAGGCAGACATGAGGGCTGGAGCTCTGTGTAAATCTAATTATTAGCATGAACCGAAGGTACTGTCACTGTTCAACTCATCCGACCTTTTAAATGGATAACCAACCTTGAGGCTTAATTGGATTTAAAAAAAAAATCAATTTCTAGCCATCGCATAGTGTTGAAATGAAGTACCGCATTCTCAGGCAATTGTAAAATCAGGTCTACCCGAGACTATTTTTTATTATTTACAACTTTAAAATGACATTATCCATCTCCGTGAGCGTTCTATGCACACATATACCTTTTGTAAACAACTGCGAGCTCCCATGTGCGGCCACTGGGCCCGCCAGCACACAATCACTCTTCTGTTCAGCAGCAGGCTGATTCGTCAGCCGCAATCTCTTCGCACCAATTACACAGAGCTCAACTGGGGATAATGGCTCACCACTGTCTGCGAGTCTCTCTTAGCTGCAGCCTGGCATCATCTCTGTAATAAGAAAAAACCCTGGAGGAAGCTTTTACCAAATCCCATCTTGACCATTAAATCTTTCTTGAAGAAGGTCATTTAATTTTATGGAAAGAAATGAACAATTAAAACGGAGCGCTGGTCTAGAAATGAGGGGGCTGACAGTTCCAGGTCTGAGCTACGTCAGCCTTGTGACCACAGCACATCCTGCTATGGGGCTCAGTTTCCCCATCTGGGAAAGGGGAAGGCACAGAGGTCTGATGCCCTGGGTCAGAACGTGAAGTAAAAAAAACAAGCATTTGATTCCCTCAGCACTTCCTGGGAGAAGGAGATCAAATGATACAAACAGGGCCCTTGGCCTCTATCACATCTGTAAATGAGAAACAGTGATTACTAATGGTGGAATTTGGATGGTTAGCTTAAAGCAATTATAGAATTATAGTTGACAAACAGAAAATGCTACACCCAGTGGTGTGCTTCACCGAAGCCTGATTGAATGTGCATTCTCAAATGGAGCCTTGTTTAAATAGCCCATTTTTGCCAGATTATGGGATGGAAAGTGGAGGACCACACAATTATCGCAGCATTCAGGACAGTCCAGAGAGCTCATTTGCACAATTGGACAAATGATTATTTTCTTTTGCCTCAATTGGCCAGATAATTGTGCACGAGTCTCTGCCATTTGGCTCTGTGGAAGGCCCCTTGATGTGGTAAGAAAACCCAGCATTGCCGGGTTTAGCCTGTCTGAGGGTGGTATGGAGTTGGGGACAAGATGCACACAGCTGGCGTCCCTCAGTCTAATTCTGAGCCCCGGATAGGAAGCACTTCTACACAAGCTGTCGACATGTCCGCCGGTGCCCTCATTAGCTGTTCTGACACCCGTCAGCTTGCAGGGTCTGCTTTCCTTCAGTACAAAACAACTACGCGAAAACATCAGACACAAGGTGCAAGGTGCTGTGTGGGTGGTCGAGAGAACGCAGAGAAAAACCAGAGGTTTCAAAGGGCCAATAAACACAGAAATATACAACTGAGACCCACACATCAGGCTCTGAGCAGAGCTAAGCTCCCAAAACACATCAGATGGACCAGCACTGCCTCCTTAGAAGAAATTACACCCTACTGTACAACCACAGATGCCACTGGCCCTTTATCTACCTAATGGCAGCTCACCATGAAAAGGTTTCTTCACATGGTCCCCATGTGGCAGAGATAGAAGGGATCCTGACCATCAAAGCAAGGAGGCTCACAGTTGGCCTGCTCTGCCATGGCATTCACGTGCATCTTTGGGTAGATGGGCGGGCTGCTTATGACCTCGCAATGGCAGACAGATAAAGAAGGCTGCTCTTATTTCACAGATGATGTTCACCACGATTAGCAGAGTGAGTCCACATACATCCAGTCCTCTGACAGGAAAAATGAGACTCAAAGGGTCACACAGGCCAAATGCTCACCAACCCTGACCTAATGCCCAAGTTTCAGAGCAGTCTGCGTAATGGCGATGTCCACTGATAATTAGTAAGTGGAATGTGCGCACTCCGGTGTGACCACTCAAAGCCCAGATCACCAAAGACCCCATTGCAAATGTAACTGTGCTCCCCTTCTGAGCCACCACAGCCCTGCACTTGTCTGCCATAATCCCAGCACTTGGAAGGTAAAGACAAGGTCACAAGTTCAAGGGCAACCTGGGCTACATAGACCCTGTCTCAGAAAACACACCATCCCCTTGCAGCTGCCAGTCTCTGTTTACAGGCCTTCCCACAGCAGGACGTAGAGACCGAGCATCACCACCATGGGACGATGGCTGTCCTTTGACAGTGAGTGACTTCTGAGCTCGCTAATGGTTGATGAGAAGGAAGGGACCACACAACAGAGTGCAGGACACCATCTGTGGCTCAGCAAGCTCTCTGGGGAGCACTCAAGACTGACCACCTGTCTGACAGGATTCACTGGCAGTGAGAGTTACCCAACTCTGGCCCTCCATCATGTCTGTCTCCCAGGTACACACGCAAATGAGCATCAACATTCTGCTCTGGCCTTGGAAGAAGACCTGGACATTCCTAGCAGACATTGTTCCTTAAGTTTGTCATTCCATTCTGGAGGATGGCATTTGTCAACGCTAGGTCCTAGAGCCTGCACGTGCAAACCACTTTGGGCACAATCCGAAGACTGCCAAACATGCTCACATAAAGTGTGTTTTCATAAAGAAAAATAATTATGTCTTTTATGTGGTTTCCCTTTTTGTATATTGGATAGCAAATTGATTGGTCCCTCTGCAGGCCTCCATTAGAAAGACAAACTGACTTTTAAACACTGAGGCAGAGGCCTCGGGCACGAAATAAATAGCCACGGACCCAGAGACCCCATATGTGGCCAGGCCCCTGCTAACACAGACACATGTGGACAGAGTGTGACCATCATTAACATTAATATAGGAATGCGGGATGCTCTTCAGTCTGCGAGATCACTTTATTGTACAAAGTTTCCAGTAACAGTAAATTAGTCAGGACAAAAAAAAAAGTCATTTTGGATAGAAGCGCTTCACTAATTGCTTTATTTAAGCACACAAGGAAAAAAGTCTTATCTGGCCAATTAGGTTGGAGGGTTTTATTACCTTTAAGAAGCCATTAGCTGGGATGAAACACTGCAAGCACTTGTGTCAAAACAAATAAATAATGCTCTCTCAATTAGCAAAGAAAGCGGTACATCCGTTAAATTAGACACACTGCTTCACACAGTGGCCCAGCTAGCACCCCAACCCCCTCCCTGCCCCAAAAGACAGAGAGCAGTTTTAGGCTAGTCTTACGAAAGATCAGGGGCCCCAAAGGTCCAGCACTTGTCCCCTTCCTTCCCGCCACTCTACAGGAGTCACCGAGGACCATGGAAGAAGGTAGTATCCAGGGCTTGGGCTTCTTCCCCAGGGCACTTCCCAGGCACAGGGAGAGATGTGATTGTCACCTCCACAGCCAGACTGAAGGGCAGGATGAGCCCACAGACAGTGGCTGTCGGCAGATAGAAGAGTCCTCTTCCAAAGTCAGTTATCCTGAGGTCCCTACCAGCACCCTGGCACTAATCCCTCTTGTGTCCTCACACATTTCTGATATTCCCCCAAGAACAGGCTCAATGGAAAAGTGCAATGGGGAGGGACCCCAAAGAGCTAGCATACACGGCTGTGGATCTAGCTACATACAAGGCAGGCCTGTCCATGCCCCCTAAGGATGGCCATCAGGGTGGCTGGGCCCATATCAGAACCATACTGTCTTCAAGCACAAGGGGACAGTCCCTCTTCCCACAGGTCCTTAGGTCAATTTCTAACCAGACCTGTTAGGTTACCCAGAAGGGTTGGGGGAAAACTAACTCCCCCCACCAAAAGAAAAAAAAAAAAAAACAAAACAACAACAAAAAAACCCTACTTAGGAAAATAAATATAAATAAATGGTGATCCTTTTTTAAAAGGTCACTTTTCTTCAAGGCTTTCATAATTACTCAGCGTGGCCTCCACAGATTGCTTAAAGCAGGTCCCCTAATTTGACCAGTCCATCCAGGAGCAGCTTGTCTAACCTCAGAAATCAGGAAAAGAGGCCTGTAGGACCCCCCTTTCCTGATTCTAAAGTGATGGGGTAGGTGCTAACTCCCCTTCCAACCCTCCCTACTAATGTCGTCAAGGGGTCTGGTAAACCTTTGGACCTCAGTGTCCCACAGCCTGAGCAGGGAGGCTGAGCTCAGGGTAACTCTGCACGAGCTGGAGTTCTGAACTCCCCCTGCAGTGAGTCTGTAAATACACACATTTGTCTACACACACACTCAAAAGGACCATATTCTTAAATAACGTAAGAGAAGCAGAGACAATTTTAAAAGCTATCGAAAATGACACAAAGACCACTAAAAGTATAGCAGCATCAATGAAGATGGCAAGTCAGACACACACCTCATCTTCTGACTCCAACACTGTCCACACCTCTCCAGTCCTGCCAAGCACCCAAGCACCGGTAGATAAACAGAAGTAAACAGAACCTTACTCTAGTGATCTGATATGCATGTGATACACACGTGGGCACACACACACACACATACACACACACACACACACACACAGCAAGCACACACAGAGGGCTTCCTTAGTCGAGGCTCTCACTGTCCTCAGGAATACCTGCTTTCTGGGCATTGTTAAGTGGCAATGGAAGAGTCGATAAATCAAATCATGGGTAGAATATTTTACTTTGAAATGGAGTGATGTTTGGTTAATAATTTGAGATCCACTAATCCTAAATGGGGTGGCCCATCTAAAGCGGCCTCTGTGTAATTTACAGCTCACTAAGTGGAGTCGGGTTTGGACAGGTGATTACATAGCTAGACTGTAAGTGACGGACTGAGGAAGAACGGCTGGGGACACATGGCTCAATCTAGTTCATGATACCATCAAGTTTTCTTGTAATGTGAGGTCAGTTCAAATGACCAACTCTCTGATTCAGGAGGTTTTGCTTAGTAACCCCTCTTGGTTTACAGCAGAAAATGCAGTGCAAAATTCTGAATGAGGAGTATGCTATTTACAATTGATTTAAACGCATGAAGCTGGTTTAACTGGCCCGTCTAAATGTGTTAATTAACATCAATGATGGTTTCTTATTTTTCACACTTTGTTACTCTGATCGTTAACTGTGATGGAGAAGCTAAATTAAGTTAATGGGGAACGGATTATAAATTCTTGAAGAACGTCTTGGTTTGTTTTCAGCTGGGAAGATGAAGAGGCAGTTTGCCTCTACTCATAAATTTTTGGTACCAAACTTCTTAAAAACCAGATGGCTAAAAAAAAAATTTCTGAAAAATTATTGAACATGCTGCTCAGACGTGAGCACTAGCAGTAAGCACATGCACACCACACTGGTGCCTCAGCAAGGCCTGCAAACCTGCATTCCCTCACTTTCTAGTAAGTGTTTAGATCACAGCTGGCCACAGGGCCAGTCTCTTCAGCAACAGCCTCAGGTCCTTAAACCCTGGACAGAGATGGAAACCCACAGCCATGCCTGCACTCCAGTCCACCAAGAGAGGGCATCCACAGGAAGGCCCGCAGCTGCCGTTGGGCCAGTGGGCTGTGCTCTGCAGGCAGTACAGTGAAGTGGTGCCAGCCAAACCCTCCTACCCAAGGAACCCATGCAGTAGCACGCTCCAGAACTTGGCGCCACTAGCGAGACTTTACGCCGATGAGGACCACGGTGAGGACTACGATGATGACAACCAAGATCAAGATCACAAGCATCTTCCGGTTCTTCTTTTGGTACTGCTCTGCCTACAAAAGAGGAGGGAAGGCATCATTTCCCCATAGACCTCACACCAGCCTGGGCCCTGCAGGGTGGCCCTCCCTCAGTGTGAACATTCAGATCTGCTGTGAGGACAGAAGCCAAGAAAACCAAGCTCAGCTTGGCCTGCTTCTTCCTTCTCTGGCTTCTCAGGAAGGTCCCCACTCCCAGGACGAATGGACACTGTCTTTCTTCCCTGGACAGGAAAGAGTGACCAGGAAGCACGGAACCAGTAGCCCCAAGAGGCCCTGTCTCTACTTCCTCTGAATTTGGAAAGAGAATACCTCATTGTCTGAGGAAGAAATGGTGAATGTGCCCATTTCTGTTGGTTTAAGAGACACCTGAGGACCAATCCCATCCTTACCCATGACTGATGGCACACGGACGAGCTCCCAAAGCCCCATCTGCAACCTCCCCCTCTATGCAGTGCCCAAAGTCACTGCCCACTGCACCCCTCTCTCCTACAGAAGCATTGGGGTCACTGACCCCTGTACTCCTCTCTCCCCATCAATGTGTCTTTCACATGGCTGACGACTGACACAGATCCCCACAGAAGGAGAGCATGCTCAGAGACTGCTGAGACTGTAGCTTAGCATCCTTAGGGAATCTACCACTCACCCAGAGAAGTTCCTCCTCACCTAGAAACAGCACAGGAGACTACCTTGAGAACTGGCCAATGGGAGCAACTCCCAAGTCTCAGCTCCCTCCCCACAGTGTGGGCTGAGGACAGACCCATTCCTCAGAGCAACCCCAAGAACCAAGGAGCCAATGCAGACCATACACTGGGAAAACTCTAATACTCCAGACCAAAAGAAAAGTCACAGCTTCTGTCAGACCCAGTCTCCCATGGAGAAGACGCCCCTCCCCCTGGGTCTGCATCACAGCACAAAGCATATTCCCTAGGAAACTCCAGGATTGACAGGTAACTTAGCAGCACCTCAAACCCACTATGGAGTGAGAAGCTCAGGGAGCTCCTGCTTGTGAGACAAGGCTGACGCCTCCATTACTCCAAACACCCACTAAGCAAGACCTGTCCCTAGCCTGGGAGGTGCAGCACAGGGCTTCTGGCCAGACCCTGCAACCTGGAACCATGATGAGACAGGGTGCTTTCCACTTTCAGAAGAACATGACTTGGGGCAATGCTCACCACATGGCCAGAGGCACCAGTGGGCATCATGGACAAGTGATCTGTTAGAAGAGCCGGCTGCATTCCCCTTACAGGAGGCCTGTGCCCAACCGCACACATGACCTTGGTGTTCATGAGTCCATTTCTCATAACTGACTGTAGGATTTTTAAAATGATTTTCACCCAATTCTTAAAAAGAAATTTAACAAACACGCAAACCCCACGATAGAGCTCCCTTGACAGCAAGAGCACAGCCCACCCTACTGTCTACAAATTTCCCTGGAGGTGACACAGGAAGGGGTAATTAGATTTCTTTCCTTGTTGAGAGTCTTTCACCAGTAAGTTGTCAGAGGTGAACCCCCAACAACCATAAGTTACCAGCAACAAGCAGATGGCTTCTCAGCCCACACCAAGAGAGGCCAATCAACTGACTTCTCTAACAAAACTCGGAAAGATGGAAAGCAAGAAGGAAGGCTCCAGGCCCACAGGAGGACCCCTGCTTGTCTGGCCTCTTGATGAGGCCTGCCCGACAACCAAGCTGCAGCATGACATCAGCTCCCATTTCTACCCCTTTGTGTGCTAGGCTGAGGATGTGCGACAGAAGAGATCTTCCTAGAAATCCCCAGGATTTGATAACAGTTCCTAAAGACCCAGCATAGAGAACTTTGGTACCTTGTGAAGCTGTTTCAAGCCATCTTCAGTCTTGACACAGGACTGTTCAACATTATAGTCAATTCTGTCAAGGACTGTACCCTGAGTAATAAGAGACAGTAGAGACAGTCAGTTACAGCTAGGGAGACTAAACTTCAAGCCCTGAGACATGCATGTGTCACAGACCTCAGGACTCACTCCTGAGCAGTGCCAGGCACTCTGTAGAGAGTGCTGTGTCAGCTGCAGCAAGAACCACATGGATTTCTGTTTTTGATGCAGCTCCTATAGAAATACCACCTTCAGATGTACTAGGGCTTAGAGACCTGTTTCAGAGAAATGGGCTCTGGGAAGCAAAGGGCCATGGGTTTCCACTCTTGCTGCTCAGATACTGGGGCCTGGTGGACGGAGACTACCAGCTAGGTTCTCCCCCATGGCCAGGCTGCTCCGATCACCATCTGAAATGACAGCTTGGATCCCAAGGACAGATTATTAAACAGTCTCTTGGTTCTGAGAGGAAGCATGGAAAAAAGACGGCAATTCACAGGGAAACACAGCAGTTAACCAGCCGGCTCTGATAGGGCCTCAAATGCTCTACTCTGTAGTTGGTTTCAGGGGACCAGGACCCAAACAAATCCCTGCTGGCAAGATAATAAAACGCCCTAATCAGATTGTAACAATGAACAACGATTTAATTCTACTTAAAAGCTGGTGGTTCCAACAGCCATTCCACAACAATCTGCACTGTCAGAAGGGAATCTTGTACAATGGCAGAATTAGGCCAGGCTTGGTCAGAGTCCACCGAGCCTCCAAAGGATGCATGCACATGAATATCTTTGGGGCAAAGCAGAAAAACATTAGAATTTCTATTCCTTTTTTCTTCTAGATTAAAAATATGGCATTTTCACAGGGAATGACAAAAGCCCACAGTACCCGAAAACGCAGAGTCCCCCAAACACATGCAGTGTGAGGAACACACATTTGAATGTTTTCCCAACTGGAGTACAGGGTGAAAGGACCACAGGGAAGGAAGGGCAAGACACCCCAAAGGGCACACACCTGCTCCACAATCATGGCTCCCAAGTCCCTGAAGATTTCACTGAGGTCGGAAATGGACTGCACGATCTGACGGATCTCCCGCTCCCTCTCCACCACCATCAGTGTATTCTGCTCTACCAGGACCAGCTGCTCATCCGTGAAACCCTGTCCACACAAGAGTCTCCCTGCTAGGAAAGCTGTGGCAAGCCAGTTCAGACAACATTTACGGAAAACAAATTCTGAAAATGTTTTTATAAAGCATTTGGCAACAGGTAAGTTACTTCCTTGACAGGACAAACAGCACAGTGTGTACTACAGCAGCTGAAGCAGAAGTGGACAAACAGCCTGAGGATGGGTCTGTGTGTCTCGGGTTGTGGGAAGCACACTCTAGGCCTCCCTGTGACAGCTGGGAAGAAAACACAGCATGGCTATTCTTGCCTGTGGTAAGGACAACTTGGTAGACACAAGACAGCAGCACTCCCTATCCCCAAACTGCACAGGAGCAAGGAACTTAGGAAAAGAGGGGGCAGATGCGGGTTTCATCACAGACCTGACCATACAGGGCAGCATCGTCTCCGTCATCCATCAGTGGCACTGACGTGTCGAAGAAATGCTGGGACCGCTCCTCTCGGTTCTTCATGCCTACCAGACAGGAGCCCACTTTACTTGGATGCATATGACTACTGCTCCACCATTAAAGAGTAAAAGCCAGCAGCAAGGGGAGGCCCCCAAACAGGTCTGAAGAGGCCCACCTCCAGGGGGGCCTTGTGTTAAAGCACTGCAACAGCATGCAAGTGTTCGGGGCACTTGGGCAGCCACTCTCTAAATGCCCGACTCACTGGATGCCAAGACAGACAGTATACAACCATCTGAGACTCTCTAAGCAAAACAGAAATAGTTATTCTAACTGATCTTATAACACACTAACACAAAGCCAATATTCTCACCTGGAAGATCTTTAGTAAGCGCTCTGATTCTGAGGTGAGGGGTCAAAATCAAAACAGATGTGTAGGTTGTGGAGGGGCAGGGTCTCTGGAGTAAGCGGGGTTTTACCCACTACAATGACAATACAGAAAAACCCAGCAACAGGGTGTTTACACCCTACTTTCAAGCTCCAGGGCTATGTAGATGTCCCTGTGAGGAGGAACTGGCTCTTACACGTGTGTCCTCAGAACTCCAAAGCTCACCATCACACCGCAACAAGTGTTCCTCCCTAAATATGCTGCGGCTTTCCAAGTCTGCAGACAGCTAGGGCCAGCTGGCTGGGCACGAACTGTCTATAGCACCGCACCAGGAGCCAGGCCTTTCCTCCTCAGCAAGGGTCTCCCAAGGAAGCAGCTTCCTCTGCTTGAAAAGCTGTCAATGTGCCTAACTAGCTGTTAACAATGACAGGCAAGAGCTGGATAGAGAAACAGCCCCAAAGGAGGACAGAAAACAATGTTTCTTACTCAAGAGTCCCTCAACCAGGACCGGCAGCACTCACGTTTCAGGTAGCCGGACTGTGCATGCCGGAAGCTGGTGGACAGCTCCTGCAGGGCCTGTGCCAGGGAGGCCACCACGTTCCGCAGCAGCCGCTCCTCCTGCTCGGAGCAGGCCCTTCTCGCCTGGCTGGGCAGGGCCTGCACAGCACGCTGGCACCTATGGAAGAGCTGAGAGAATAGCTCTGGCTTACATCAAGAGGCCTCTCCTCACCAAGGCCTCTGCCAGGAGGCACCTTGCTCTGCAGACTGATATGAAGGGTTGGGTAAGGTAGGTAGGTGTGTGTGTGTGTGTAGGGCTGGCTAGAGGTTTCATGTACACACACTGTAGACTGTTTGTACGATGTCTATGGTGAGCCCCAATCTGCTCACTCCACGCCCTGTCACTCACTGTATGCCCGACCATTCCTTCACTTCCTACAGGAGGAGCACAAGGCAGGGACCAGTGTGGTTTCTATGCCCACTTTACAGATGGGAGGGCAGAGTCAGAGACTGAGGGAGAAATCGCCCTGGTGACTTGGCTTCAGAGCAGGTATTTGGATGTCTACTCTCAGAGTAAGAAGGCGAATTAAACACAGAGTCACACCACCTAAAGGTTAAACAGTGTTTCCAATAAAATCCCCAGGATGTCTTCTTACAGAGCTGTGCTTTAGCATAAAATTGCAAGTCCTGGTGTGAGACAGCAATTACACTCTAACATCAAATGATCAAATGCATTACTATGCTGCACCGAGTTTTACATTCTCAAACACAGTGGGATCTACCAACAACCGAAAAATAGTGCCTAGACCTCCAAGAAAACCACACACATGCTGGCAACTCATAGTCCCTGTGAGGGCTTCCAGCAGGAATATAAAACCCTAGGACATCACCTGCTGGGTTTATAATAGGGGTCTGTGGCGCTGGAGGTGCCCTCACCTGTGTGATCTCTTGGGTGGTTATCTCGATGGCATGCTCTTCCTCGCTGCTGTCATCCAAGGTGGGCCTATTCAGATGCTTGTCATGAAGGCTGGCTAACTCCTTCATCTTCTGTTTTATGCGGCCAACATCATACTGTACCTAAACAAGCGAAGTCACAAGAATCCCGCTCATGCCTAGCAGATAGACTGCATTCAAGATGATGAACTGCACCAGACTCTGAGTTCAGCTGAATTTAGCGGCTTACTGACACACAAATAAGTTTTTAAATTCAAGTTGCAAAAAAAAAGAAAGAAAGAAAGAAAGGAAAGAAAGAAAGAAAAAAAAAAGCTGGGGAGAAGCTCGGTGGTTAAGGGCACTTGTTGTTATGGTAGAAGACCGGGTTCAGTTCTCAGCACCTACATGCTGGTTTACAGTTATCTGTGCAACTGCAGTGCCAGGGGCTCCAATGTCCTTCTATTATCTCCACAGGTGCACAACTGGTACAGACATACATGCAGGCAAAACACTATCACCCATAAAATAAAATTAGCCAGATGGGGCGGTGTTGCATGCCTTTAATCCCAGTACTCAGGAGGGAGAAGAAAGCAAATCTCTGAATTCAGGGCCAACGTGGTCTACAGAGTAAGTTCTAGGACAGCCAGGGCTATACAGAGAAACCCTGCCTCAAAAAATCAAGGTTAGTAAATAAATAAATGGATAAATACATCTAAAACAAACTAGCAGACAATTTTCTTATTCCATGATTTTTCATTTCTTTCTATAAATCAAGTAGTTGCTGCTAATGGTAAGCCCACACCATCTAGACAGACAGACAGACACACTCTTACTCTATTGTGTGGTATATCAACATGTGAGCGTGTCTGAGGACACAACTATATCTGGAGCCAAACTGACCCATTCGGTAGACACTTGAAGCCATGTCACTACCCAGACTTAACAAGCAAGCAAGCAAACAAAGCCCTTGGAGCTGTCCTTTCACTTACTTCATCTACTCCGTCCACCCATTTGGGAGGTGACCGCTTTGTCACACCAATCGCTGCTTCTGGATCTAGGCTGATGCCTGACACCAGTGCCATGCGGTCATCAGCCAGCTACAAAGAATGACGGACATTGAGAGACGGTCAGAGGTCAGCTAGGACATGGATCCCCTACTGTCCCTGAAAGGGTGTGGAAAGGCTGGGGAAATGACGTGCCTGTGTTACAAGCTTGCCTCTGTCACACTAGGGTCTCAACTCCACTCCTATCTTTTCTTGCATCAGTTCTTAACTTCCTTGGACATTCTTGTGGACACGCCTTTGACTTGATTTGGCTACAGAAATGTAATGAAAACATCAGAAACCCAGCTCCATAAGGAAAGCGCTCTTGAACAAGCTCTAAAGCCAGGGCAGCAGGAGCGAGCGGGAATGTGCTGGGTGAGAAAGCAACGGGTCTGCTGCTGAAATCAGGCGGGCCCGTGACCTCGGTCACAAGAGCACAAGCCCCACGCTAACATGTGTCCAAGAGCTGCTCAAAGGGTTAACTAGACTGTGTGGACCACAGCCATCCTCCAGTCTCAGCAGCACCGTCGGCAGACAGCCATTGCTTTGCTTCAGCTGCATGTCCACTGGCAGTACTTACCTTACTTTGAAATGACAGATAGCTTTTGTTGTTTAAATTTGAAATTCCAGCAAGTGGGAGGGAAATCACAGGCTGGCCTGGTTATTTATTTATTTTGCCTGGGGCAATGAATGGATCTGAAAGGATCTAGAGGTCCTGCAAAGCACAGAATTTTTAAATACTAATTCAAAAGACCCAAATGATAACCAAAGGACAGTGGCCAAGAGGCGCTGTCCACTCTGCTGCGAGCTTTCTGGGCACACTGAGGCACTGGATGAGCAACGCCCACTACCCTCCTTCCTTGCAATCACATGTGTGTGTTTTTCAAGCATTTGTCAAATTCATATTTGCTTACCTAACAATTCCCAAAAATGAAGGGAAAACTAATATATATATATATACACACACACACACACAACGTTAAAATTTTTCCAAGGAATAAGCCTATGATCCCTAAGTACCAGCTCACACTCCAACTGTCATCTTCAGCACTGCACACACTTCCGGTAGCCTGGCCTCCACCTGCCCCAGCATCCAACAAGGGCCATGATGACAGAAATGGACCCAAGGCCTGGGGGTTTTGACCACTGTCCACGTCACCACAGCAGGCCCAAGTTCCATCTGTGCCTGAGCTAATGGTGTGCCCTTCAAACATGTGCTGCTGACCGCAGGTCCTGGTGGCGGTCCTCAGCCACCTTAAGCCTTCACTAATTTATTATTTTAATCCTCACAAAATATAGGTGAGCTGAGGACCATTATTTCAATCATAAACACAGAATTTAAACTCAGAAAAGTTAAGTAGCCTGCCTTAAGGCACCATGCTACTGTGGCAGACTAAAACCTGGCCAGCTGGTTCCAGAATCCCCACCGGGCCCCACAAGCTCACTCTTAGCAACCCACGCAATACAACTGCAGTTGACTAAGCAAACCAGCCAGCACAAAGGGCTGCTACACTTAAGACAGCAAAGGAGGGCCAGGGCTTGGGCTCTTCTTGTGGCATCTACACAGGGACTGGAGGGGCTCCAGCACTCAAGTCTGACCAGGCTAGTCTTGCTAACGACCGTGGAAACAATTCCACTCCACAGCCACCAAGAACATCCTTGATTGGCCTGCTGTGTGTGTGTGTGTGTGTGTGTTTAGCAGATCCTGACAGCTTCGCACCACAAGGGGTGGACCCTGAGCTCAATTCCAGAACATCACACAAAGCACAACTTGAAATTGCCACAGCATCTACTATTGAGCCATAGAGCTCATGTCCGGTCTGCATTGTTCCCGTGTGTGTCACAACACAGATAGTATCAACAAAACAGGCTGCACTGTTTTCACTGTTTACAAATGCATGTTAAACTGGAAGATGCAGAGAGATGGCATCTTTAAATTCACCTGGACTAGCATCATCTGAAATAAGGTCACAGACCACATCTGAACATTCAGCTGAAGCGGACCGCACTGCTTGCAGCAGTCCCCCACCAGCCTCCACTGCAGACAAGTTCCTGACCTAGGCAAGAAACACATGCGCACCTGTCCTAGAGATCCTGCTGCTCCGAATCACAGCCTTCCACGCTTACAACACCCTGTCGCATGTGTACGCTAGCACAGTGAGATCAAGGAACAGTAGAACAAGTTCAACAGCAGAACAAGCGCAGCTCTCACCAGAAGCCGGCTGCATGAGCACTCAACACTCAAGAGTCCAGAAGGGACGCTACAAACCACAGCCTAGCAACTTTTGCAATGGACCTGTCTATCTTGAAGGTCGAGCACAAGGACAGACAACACGGTCTAAGAAATCGCCAGGCTCGAGGAGGCGTAAACAAGCAAGTGGACAGAAGAATCTTGAAGTCACAACCATATTATCTTATTCTGAGATTAAAAAATAATGCTTTCTTCTCATTATGAAATTACTGAAAACACTTACTGAACAGCCAGAACAGAGAACACAAAACTTGGGAATCTCATGCGCTGTCTTGACAGTCTTGCTAACTCACTGACTCTCCTCCCTGGGAATCTCATGCACTGTCTTGACAGTCTTGCTAACTCACTGATACTACTCAATATACACAAGCTAAGAAAGAAAGAGGAGTAGCCGCTCCTGCCCACCACCACGGCACTGAGCATGCTTGCAGACTTGACTTCTGCAACCGAAGAGCAATCCTTCCCTAGGGCTTGCTCCTACCTTCAGTGGATGTTGAAACCCTTCCTGCTAAAGACCACAAGGGCTAGCTAGTAGGCCTAGGTAGTTTGGGATCCTGACTTTTATACCTTATAATTTTTAATAGCTCCTATTTTCTGGAAGATTATCTATCCAAGGCAGAAAATGCAAAGACCAGGCACAGAAGACAGAGGAGGGAATGGATACTGTACTGGACAACACTGTGGATAGAGAATGGCCTCCTTCTTGGCCAAAACTCTACTGCTTATTCCCTGAGCAGAAAGGAAGCAGTGTCTCCAGGGTCCTTAGTCTAAGGAAGAGAGTGGTTAACATGTATGTTTGCAGGGCTACCTGTAGAGAGGGCAGGGGCTCTCAGATTCATGGCTTCATGCCAGGACACCCAAGTGGCAGATGTTTACCACTCCCAGAAGACACGACCTTAAAGCCTGCTCTCCCTCAGTAAAGGGAGCCTCTGGACACCTTCCCCAGCTCCATCCCCAGCTCCCGCTCAGCACCTGGCACTTCACAGTAATGAACACACAATTATAATTAGCTGAATGAGTCAACAGTAAATGGGTGGAATGAATGGATGAGGTAAATAAAGTATGTTGTGCATAATTCTGGAAGCTACACTTCATGAAAAACATAATGGCGCTGGGGAAGGGAGGGAAGTGAAGCGTGCAGAGCCAAGAGTACAAGTACAAGGCTGCTCAGCGCACCGCACTTCCGCCAGGGTCCTGTGCACAGATGCTAAGCACAAGAAATACAAACAGGGATCAGATGGAGTGACACACATCTGTGACCCCAGTACCTGGAGACCAGCCTAGGCTACATGCTGATCAAAACCCCCAAAGAAACACACGTGGGCCTGCAAGCTCCTCACACACATGGCTTATCTCTAGAAGCTGCCCTATAGGAGGGGCTAGAGTAAGTGTCTCTTGTTAGAACCTCTTACCAACCCTCCCACAACCTTACTCCTTTCCTCAGCTGCAACCCGCTCAGCAAGGAGGTACATCCTGCTAATGGAGTCCCATCTACCTTTTCCTAACATGCAGAAAAAGAAAAAGAAAGAAACAGGAGTCTATCACCATTGCTAGCTGACCAAAGGTCAGGACGCTTATGCCCCTAGTCCCTACAGGCAGATCCTCCTGAAGTCATGAGGACTAGAAAGCCCCCGAGACAGGGTGCTTGAGTGGTGTAGTGTGCTGGCATCATCGACCATGAGTTTAGGCTCTCCCAATATAAGGCTAGAGCGAACCCAGATGCTGGCACCTGCAGGTTACAAAAGGAAGTGATCCTGACCCCTGAACTGCCTTTCTGTAGAACCTTCATATTCAAACAAGTCAACCTGCCTTCAGAAAAGCCGGCACAGCCCCTTCATCACTGAGACAGAAAGGGCCATTAATGTGGTCGGTAGGAGTGTCCATCCCGTCTCCTGGCCCTGTTAGCAGGGCTACTGAAACCAAATGATATGGATGCATACTCTCCTGGCTTTCCCAGCGAGACGCTAACAAGAAACCAAGAGGTCAAGCAGGTGCTGTCAGGAAGGGCAGATGTGGTCCCTGCAGCAGCAGCCGAAACACACAGCACTCCTTACTTCATCAGGAGCATGAGAGACCAGCCAGATGGCAGCAGCATTCATGGCTCCTCCCCACCTACTTGAAGCTTCTGTCAGATGGCCTGTCCCCCTTTGCTCCACCTCAACCACTATATCCCCTGTATCTCAGAAATCAGGAGCCCAGGTCATCACCTATAAGCAGGAAGCTTGTTTCCCAGTCAAGCAACTCTCCCCTGTGGCTGCTTCCAAACTGAGAACTTTCCCAAACAGTAGACATGGTTCCTAAGCATCCTTCTCAGTTACCACTTCACAGGGTGTGAACACAGGCGAAGTATGAAGTCAATACATTCCATACAGTAATTCAAATCAACTCTACATGTATGCTATGGCTAGTGTCATGTATGTGACCAAAGACTGCAGGAAAACAGTATTTTATAAACTAAAACCACCCAACATACAAAAATACTCAAAGCACAGTACCTCATCCAGCTCCTGCAGTTGTGGTGTTGCCGTCGGGCCGTCCGGGCAGGAAAAGCAGAAAGGCATGGGCAGACAGACACACAAGGCCATCAGGTGAGGAGACAGTATCAACCTAACCAAGTGACTACACAACCCAACACTTCAAAGGCTGCCCTGGAGTCTTCCCGCTTAGGAACAGCTACACCAACCTGTGTGTTTAGTTACTGCAGTTCTTTTGGTAAAGGAGGTAGTAATCTATAAATAGTTGTGAAAATTAAAACACATTGTAAACAAGCAAAACATACTTGCTCTGTTTTACTAAAATACAGAGGTAATCTTTTTTTCATAAAGATCAATTATCACTTGCAATATCACCTCTAAATTTCCTCAGAAAGATAAAATAAATGCTAAAGTATAACGTTACCGTGTCATATAAATACATAGTTTAACATGACAATCAGCTCAGCAAATGCAATGGAATTAAAATATAAACAACCCACAAAACTGTTTGCCAATGGCTACATTCAAATCATAGTGCAGCCAATCTACCCACGGACAGTACAAATCAAACCCCATGGCCACGGCTTTATCCCCGGTGATGGAGACACAAATAGACAGAGAAAGAAACACTCCTGTATGTGCTGGGATTGGGCACAGCTATGTGGATGGCTACAGGGTACTGTAAGCTAAGGAGACAAAGCAGACAGGAAAAAGACCCAGCTTCACCAGTGTGGGAAGGAGGAAATGGACACTCAAGGGTTAAATTTCAGTTGAAAATTAAAGCTTCTTGTTTAGACCAATGTGAAAGGCTATCTTCTAAGAGACAGTTACTAATGACAGGTAATCTAAACAACAAGGTCCTTTTTCCCTACAGTATCGATCATGGAAATAATTAGTGGTGAATTTCAATAACTGTGTTGATTTTTTTATACTTAGTAGTAAATTAAAATAATAAATAACATAATTTTCTTATTTAAAAATTAGTAGTACAAATGAAGCTTGATTATTAATACCAAAATACTATCACATAATGCTAGCAAAAAAAAACCCAAAAAAACAAAAACAAAAAAGAATCAAAATAACAACAACAAAATCCACACACGAAGTAATCACATAATCCCTGTGCACAGAAATCTATGAGAGCATCTTGGAGCTGAGAGCCTCTGCACTCTTGCACTCTGCTGGTGCACACAAGCTGCTATGGTAGAGGCTCAAGGAGAACAAGCCATGAACTACCTCATCTCAGTTTGCTTTAAAAAGAAAAAATAATGTATTTTTTAAAAAAAGCAAAGCAGATCCATAAACACAGCACAGACATCTTTTATCAATATCCCAGATGGATGACATCTTCTGCTGTGGGGCTTGAGCCTAGACCCCTTTGAGTCCTCCCGGGCCTTCCTAAGAGGGAAGGGGCACCGTGAGCCACAGTCTAAGCCATCTCGCACCTGAGCCAGTGCCGCTGGGTTATTAGCTGGCCGCACACATCCTCTTCTATTCACTCCTACAATTACTAGGCGCTAAGAGGTGAAATTACAATCATGAGATTCTAGGATTAAAAGCAACACTTACAAACACTCAGAACTACGCATTAAAATATCCCAGCCAGAAGACGTGGACGGGGGCAGCTCAGGTGCACCAACCCTTTCCACCCCACCATCCAGCCTCGCTGTTGCCATTAATCGTTCCTGGAATGTTTGCACATCAGGACTGAACTCAGAATACCACCTTTTCAAAGACCACCCTCATTCTACCTTCTTAAAAACAGACGGTTTCCAAAACTCCTGCCCCAAAAGTCCCAGGAAATTTGGTCATTTAGACCTGAGTTAAAACACAAGAATCACAATCAGGAAAGACCATAATACAGTCCATCACCACCTTCTAAAACCTTTGTATCGTCTAAACCACGGCTTGTGACCTGCCCATGGCAAGCAATCAAGCAAACATTGAAAAATTCCAAGTAGCATTTGGAATTTATAGTCTAAAGAACTTCCTACAGAGAACTGAGAAGAGGAAGCGCATCCGTGTTTGTTCAGGGGTCTGGACAAGCTGAGCCGAGTGAGTTGGAATCACAGGTCTGTGCTATACTTGTGTTTACTTTCTTCCTGCTGCTGCAAAAATAAAAGTATGCTTCACTTTCATCCAACAAAGCACCCTCGTTCACAAGTCAGTCTCCCAGCTCAAATGGAACCTTTACATGCAGAAAAGCAAATATATCTAAAGAGAAATATACAATGATTTCATACTTGGAGCCTACAGACAAAGATATGATTTTCCAGCAGACTGAGGCCCTACGATGAGCAAGCTAAAACTGACCGTGGACGGCTGCAAAAAGAAGTAAAAAAACCAGGCTAGCAAGAGAAAAAAAAAAAACAAAAACATGTAATTAAACAAGTAAGTTCTTCCACACCCACTGGGGAAGCAGCCGGGGCCACTGTGGCCCACAATCCCACATTCGCGAGATGGGTGACGGGGTCAGTTCCTAACTCCTCTACCCATCATCACTCTGCTCATCTGAACCATGAGCACCAACTTCATCCAGGACAACACAGGTCACACATGGAAAAGGCTCAGCCTTGCCAGGCACACAGTAAGCACACATAAATCTTCACTAATATCACATTCAAGACTGAGTAAGGACCTCAGGTTCCTAAAACCACAGTTAATCCTTAGGTTCTCTCCCCACGCACACACAAAGTACACATTTTATTAAAAATAATGGGTTAGTTTCAAACTAATTTAGGAGTAATTAACATTGGCGTCCATGTATAGATCGTGCACGCTTTTACAGCAGAGTATATATCAGTGGTCAACACTAGCCAAGCAATCCCACCCTGGTTCAGATTCATCTCAAGAGCCGAGAACAAGAGCAACACGGCACCTTAGCCAACTCAGCTTCCCCCTTTTCAGTCATTCCAAGATTTTATTTTTTAATTATTATTTAACTTTATAAATCCTCACAGGTTCCTGAAGCCAGCTGCTCGCAATTGCCTGTACGAGGCACTGACTTCAACCCTGGGCTTGGCAGACAAGATGTCAAAAAGTTACTTTTGTACAGTATTGGGCTACTCTAAAGTATTTTTCCTCCGTAGCCTTGAGCTGACAGCCAACACTGTTGTTGACTATAGATTTCTCCTTTTCAATTTAAAGGTAAGGTTGTGTGCTTTGGTCAGGAGAAACAAATATTAAAACAGAACGGCAGAAACACTGTTGAATTGATGGAGCCACCGGAGATCACCTCACTCAAAATCCTCAATTTAGCAAGGAGACTAAAGATGTCCAAAAAGATTACATCCACAGAAGAGCAGGGCTCAGACTGAATTCCCAGACTTCCATCCATCACTCTGCCTTTATCACATGCTGCCGAGGGACATTGTGATGGATGCTCCAGACTTAAGGCAGGACCCAGCTCCTGAAAAGTACCAACAAGTGCCTTTGGCTTGGACACAAAAATCAAACCCCATTCTGTTTTAACAAAATTAACCTTACTAATATGAACACAAAAATATAAATGAGTAGAATTTCTTATAGTTGTTGTGCTGAGCTTTAAAAAGAATACAGAAAAATCAGTCCTCATTCACAGCAAAGGAACTTAAACTATGCGTCTGACCCGGGACAGCTGAGTCTAAAAAAAAAAAACCCTCCAGGGAATACGGCAATGGTGGGGTCCACATACAGGAAGAATCAGTGTCCTAAGCCACAAACACCAGGAGACAGACCCTAGAGTGGGAGACAAATTGCTGGCATCGATAAAGGAAAAGACAATTCAGAAGTAAAAGATGACAGCTGCCAGAATGCCGATCCATCACAGAAGAGTCTAGCAAGAAAACATGAGGGTTCCATAAAAAGGGACATTGCACCAAAGGCCTTTACGTCCAGTCTGGTCCTCGGGGGGGATTTTGTTGGGTTATTTTGCTGCTTGCAAGTTTTCCTTAAACCCCTCCTTATTCATCACACATTTCCCCGTACCTAGCCGTAAATCTCTGTGCATACACAGCCTCCTGCTGCAACCATCACCAACAAATCTGTCATTTTCTCTTCAAACCACTATTTAAAAGTATGGGCTTACTGTTTTTAAATGTTAAGGCTTCCACCGAGGTTTGTTTTGAGGTGTATAAGATATGTATATCCACATACTACTTTGTAATCCATTTCTGTAGTTTTGTCCTCAATAGGGATGTGAAAGCTCAATATTAAATTTTTATATAAATAAAATCTTTCATTTTAGATATTTATTTTTAATTACATATGAGACAACAAACACTAAAATCAGTGTCTACAGTTTTCCCTTCTAATTAGAAATTTAAAATTCCAAGTAATGATTTTTTAAAATCAAATTCTCAGTTTTAGCTACTTCCCTTTTAATTATATAAGTTTAAATATGCATTTACAAATTGTCTCTTTTGTCTCATTTGATTAAGACAAATACATACTTTTAAAGTTTTTATTTATAATTTCTCCAAGCTAGAAACTATATTGAGAAAAATGCAAAGCAGTAAAATGTCCTGGCATGTATCAGCATCACTAGATTCAACAATTAAAATGTTTAAAATGTCCTGGCATGTATCAGCATCACTAGATTCAACAATTAAAAATGTTTTGCTTTTCTGCTTCCTCTATTTTTGAGAGCAGAATATATAAAATAAGTTCCATTTCAATATTAAATATTTTCATAGCTATCTAATAAAATTAGCAAATTTAATTATAATTATTTGGATAATCTAATATCATCTAATATCTTGTCCATATTCAATGCTGACTGATAAAGTTTTGATTTACCAGATAGTTTTGAAATTGAAAGTCAAAATGTGGTTTTCAAATTTTTCTGAGCCAAAAGCACCGTGTGAACGATGCAAGAGTTTCTAAAAATTGTCTTAAAAATATCTTTTTCTTCAATAATGCTTTCTTGATTTCCAGAAGTTATAAAAAATTACAATTTCTACTGTTAATATCTTGACATTCTTGATTATTTTATGTGCAGCAATAATCTGTGAAAAAAACTTATAAACAAACTGAAAATATAACATTTCATTCTAAACACAGATATTTACAGCATGCATTTGCTTTCTTAATGAACACAATTAAAATATAGAGCTGTGAATATGTGTTTTTGCCTTTTAAATTCTAACTTAGGCAAACTATTTTTGTTAGACTGCAAAAATCTGTTTTTTTTTTTTTTTTGAGTAGTCCGAACTGATCGTGCAGGTATTTCCACGGACTTGACTCCTCGTAGCCATTGCAGGAAAATGCCGGAAGCACCGGCTAATAAAAGCATTCAGTATTTTCAATAGCATGATATATGAAAATATTGTTAACATTCTTAACTTAAACATGAATTTTAGTTGCATTCATAAATCATTTTCAAAATGCTGTCCGAATTTGTTAAATGGATCTGTATAATTCTTGACATCATCTGCTTTTCCAAACCATATACTACAGCTAAGCATTTTAAATTACTTTACTCCCCACATATTTAGGTAGGCAAACAGATACATATTCAAATAGTCTTGCTTAGAAACACATTTAAAAAGCAGCTGGACTCAGCACCGTAGTTTAGAAAAGCTGCCTGTCGGAGACATCGTGTTTTTAAACTCTCTGAATTAATGTTTGTTTTTTTTTTTTATCACGCTACCCAAAGGTTCAGGATGCTTTGAACATAGAGAATCAAATTTAAAAAATCAAACAATATCTTCTTCATCATAGGATGCTTTGAACATACAGAATTAAATTTAAAAAACCAAACAATATCTTCTTCATCAATTAAAATTGAGGCCCTAGAAGCGTTAGTATGGGTTTAGCTCTGGTTTTTTTTTTTCTCCCCCTTCCCCATGAGGTAGCATAAAATTAAGTCATAAAGAACAGACGACTCTTATTTAACATAACTGAGAAGACCCACCAGTGCTATTCATCCCGTCTCCACTCACTATTTCTCGGTTTAATTTGTGAAGATTCTTTTTCAAAAGCCGTGTTAGAATGAACATGCTAAGATTTTTTTTTACTTATTTCTATATAATATTATTTCTTTCAGCCTTTAAATGTAAAAACCCTTCAAATATAAATGCAAAGAGAAGCCCCTATACACTCGGAGGTAGTTGTCTATGCCTTGTGACCAAAGTTTACATCTGAAACCTTAATCGTTAAAAACTGCTCACACGGCTTCAAATCCCTTTTCTGTGAATAATATGGCCAAACATAATTTCCACGGTGACTTAAAAAAAAGGGACAACTGTCTTGGCAACACAATGACAATCATGACACAGAGCTTAATTTTTCATTAGCACTTCGATAAATGATAAAAGAAAAGATGAAAAGGCAATGCAGCATCTAAAAGGTAGGAAAGGTGCAAAGGTGCAGGGTTTCCCAAACTGTATTTCAAATACAACCTCCTAAGGTTCATGCCCCTATGTTCTAAGGCTGCTTCCATTCAAACCTTCCCTTTTCGATTAAAGGTATTACAAAGCCAACAATATTCGTCTGGTTGGACCATTCAGACCTGCCCCTATCTGAGAGGGCAGTAGACTGAGGCTCAGGAAGTCAAAGCTTCCATCAAAAACAAACCAAATACAGCAATCTTTCTGGAACATTGCTTTGAAAAAGAACAACAAAAAAAAAAACCCACTACTGCTAGACCAAGTGAAGTTCCGGTCAATAAAATCAAAAGCCATGTGCTATTTTGGGGGGTTAATTTTCACATCCACATCATGGTTTTTTTTTTAAAAAAAAAAAAGTTCGAATGGAGGGGAAAGCTTAATTTCCTGTGTGGGAAATGGAAAACGAAGCGCATAGCACCCTGCAGTCTCACCAACATGAGCCCCAGGAAAAACAGCAAAGCAATTACTCGTGGGTGCACAGGCTACACCGAGGACTGGGGCCATTTGAAGAAAAATGGTGGGAAAAGAAAATGAACACACACACAAACACACACACACACCCTCCCAACCTCCCCCCCAACCCCACACACACCCCACACAAAACTCCTTCCTGGGTGGGGGTGGGGGAGAGTTCTCTCTGCAAGGATTTGAGTCAGCTAACCAACCACCTGACCCAAAGAACCAAAGTGAAGCCATTGCAAGAGGGCGGGGAAGGGGAGCACTCCAAACAAAACAAAACAAAAAGAAGGTTGGAGAAAGGCCTAGATTCCAAGTCCTCGTGGCTAAAACATATGTAAATTGAAGCTGCCTGTCGTGCTGTGACAACGAGGTAGCTGGGAGAGGAAGACTAGGAGGACCACGGAAGTGAGACGGGTAAAGTAAGGCAGAGAGGGCTTGATACTGCAGTGCCCCTTGGGGGTTGTAGGTGCCCCATGACCCCTGGCTAAGGAACCCTTCCACTTAAGTATCCTAATCGCCGTTGTCTTGTTCTTTTTCTTTCTTTCTTTCTTTTTTTTTTCCTTTTTAAACAGAGAGACAGACAGAGACAGACAGACAGGCAGAGCCGCAGTGCACACACTGTGTGTCTGGAGAGGCCGCCAGGAGACTCACCGCAGCAATGCTACGTGAATGCAGAGGGCTGGAGGTGGTGTGACTACTCACTTGCTCGGCTAACAGCTGCCGGTTTTGGATGGAATTATTCCGCAACAACAAGAAAGCGTCGGTTAAACGCCTGGTGGCCATGTCTCACCCTTTGTGAACCCCCTTCCAGGGTCCCCCACCCCCTTATAATCTTGATTTTTTTTTTCACTTTCTTTCTTAGTCTGGTCTAGCTGGTCCACCCTTGTACAGAAACCTCTCTTTACAAGGCCTTAGGCTAAAAAAAAAAAAATAACAAAAAAAAAAACGGCGCAATTTTGCGCTCCGCCAAAGCGCAAAGACCCCTCCCCAAAAAATCACCTAGGCTTTCCAATTGTCTGGCTCCCCCTACCAAAGGCTTGGCTCAGATCTCTAAGCACTAGAATCCCCCCAATCCTAGCGTCGAAATCTAACGTCCTGCAGACCCCTCCCCAATCCAGGCGTGGATCTACAAGCGTCTAAAGCACCAATCAGGAGAGGGAATGGGAAAGACCCCTACCCACTCATTTCCTAGGACCGCCCCCAAAAGGTTTTGGCCTCCTAACCCTAACTTAGCGTTTGGGTGTTTGGCATGTGGCTCTAACACGGAGATTTGGGTAACTCTCCTCACAAAAGGCCTGCTCCAAACACGAAAAGGGCCTGAGCCCAGAACAAGGGAGTGTCTGCAGCTCCCTTCCTCTTCGACTGCGCCTTCTAGGGCTCAGAGTGACCTGACCCCTTTCTTTCTCGGGTGGCCTGGTCCTCCACTGCCAGCAGGCTGCAGGCCTCCACTAGGACCTCACGGCCTGACCCCCCGGCCTCTCACTCCTTCGCCGGCACCCTCCATCCCGGGATAAGGCTGCAGCCCTGCCCCCAACGCCGTTTCCGTGCAGTGGTCCCGGCTCTGACGGTCCCCCAGCCTCTTCCTGTCCGTCTCTCGCGGGTGCCCCCCTGCGCTATTCATGGGCTTTGTTTGCAACGTTCCGGAGAGGGAACTCCCTTGTTGCCCTGCCCCAGGGGTGGGAGCGCTCCGCCCTCTCCGGGGTAGTTCCCGGGGTGCCCTGTTTCCCTTTTCTTAAGTGTGTGCAGGCTTTGGGCTGGGCGTCCTGGCCCAAAAAAACTGGCTTCAAAAACTTGGCTCTGGAACTGAAAACCACCACTGGGGTCCAGGCAGTTGTGAACTTATACTAGAACTGCCAAAGTGAGAGAACGTGGCTCTCGTGGAGCCTAGTCTTGAGCGGGGGCGGAGGAAAAAGTGGGAGACGACTGCCTCTGCAGGCCGGGCACGCTCCACTGCAGGCGGCTGGCGCTGCTGAGATGGTTTTGCCCTTTTTTTTTTTTTTAAGCTGAAAAAAAAAAATAAAAATCTGAAAAACAACCAGGCGATGAAAAGGAACTGGGGGAAAAAAAATAGCTTGAGCTCCAGGCTTTGCCGGCCTTGCTGCGGGCAGTCAGGGGGTCGTTAGATCCCCACTACAGTGTTGTGCTTGTCAAGTGGAAAAGTTCCCTGCTAACTTAGAGACCGCCTCAGTCCCACTCCCCGCAAAAGAACTTGGTGTTGTGGCTATGTTTGCCTTCCACCGAGCTGGGCCTTCGGGTGGCTTCCCAGTCTCTAGAGCCATGCATCCGATTCACTGCTACTGTGGCTTGGCTTGGGGGGTCACTCGCCGAGCCCACCTCACTCCCACCCCCGGGCTGCAATTGCCAGCGTCTCTAGAGCACAGACGGGGCCACGGCAAGCCCAAGTGACAGCATCTCTGCAGCGCGGATGCTTGGAGTGCATCGCCCACAGTCTTGACCACAGCTTTGGGGGTTACACTGGGGACACTTTGGCCACACTCGGGGTCGCCTACGTCTCTCCGAGGCTGACCAAGCCGGCACTCCAGGGAGGCCTAGCGTCAGAGCCCTGTGGGGTCAGGTGCGGGTGTCCCGGGTGCCTTTCCTCTTAAAGGGGGCGTGTTTGTACATTCGTGTGCAACTAAGCATTCCTATGAAACGTATCTTCGAGGTACATAGCACAATGAAAGTATGGAAGAAGAATCGAGGCGCCGGCGAGCAGCGATGGCTGCTTGAGCTGATGGCAAGAATAGTGAGGACTGGCTTCAGAGCTCGGTGTGGATCCCGGCGCCCACTCCCCTAGCAACAGACTATCAGCTGCGGGCTGTTCCGGGGATGACAAGCAACTCAGACCCCACTGGAGACCGTAGAGCCCTGCACTCGGCGGCCCCAAAGCCAAGGCCCCAGGTTCATCTCGAGGAGCGAAAAGCAAGGAAACCTGTGTAGACCCCGGGAGATAGCTGTGCAATGAGGGAAGGAAGAGTTCCCTTGCCAACCGACTGCCGACCCTGCCTGTGAGAGCCGCCCCCCAGTCACGTGGCAGAGCCCCTTCCTCCTCCTCTTCCTCCTCCTTTCAGTGCACAGAGCTTTAGTAAACAACCACCAAGCAGGGCTTAGGCAGGAACACAGCCGTGGTCCTTTTCTCTCCTCCATTCTTTAGAGCACACATCCCTCTCTTGCAAAGCAGGGACTTGTTTACTTCTGGCTAGAACCTGATCTGCCTCCTACACTGGATGGCTGTATTTTAGTCATCTTTGTATCCACTGCCGCCTTATCTGGCTTGTAACAAGTTCTAAATAAAAAGGTTTTTAAATACGTGCACTAATATTGGGAGACCTGAAATTAAGTTCCCAAAATAGTCTGACCTCCATCCAGTGTCTCTAAAGCCTTTAGAGTCCTCTTTTAGTATACGTATACATATGTTCGATTTTAATAATTTTTGCAGTCTATGTCTTGTCCACCTCTCAGGGGTTATTGTGAAGATCAAAAACAAGCACTTTGTAAACTGTCAGATCCCAGGCAAATAATATATAAAATGGTAATTTATTCATTTTCTGCATTAGGGAAGCTTAATGAAATTCCTGGTGTTGTGTTATGACCCTTCCTGGTGAATCTTAAATATTTATTGTTGGACATTTAGGAGACCAATGAAGCTGCATCTCTTTGAGAAAAATGAACAGTATTCGCATCTATGAATAATAGAACAAGGAGTCTTTTAGTCTCCAAACAGGCACCTCAAGCAACTCCAGAGCCCAGGAGCAGGGAGAAGGAAGAATTCAGAAGCTGAGCAGAGGGGCCAGAAGGCAGCCTGGAGCAGTTAAGCCCCAGCCTTATGGAGGAGCAGTGTTCTGAGCCAGTACTGCTGTTAAGAGCTGGGAATAAGGCCTGTCTGCCTGCCTGTCTGTGCTCATATCCATGTAGGCCCTGACCCACATTACAGGGGAGCAGGACCGAGTGGGGAGGGAAGGGGGAATTAAATCATTGTATTCCAATATTTTTTGCTGCTTTATTTTTCTGTCAAGTAGCTTCAGATTTTTTAAAAGCATTCCCTCATGACCAAGTATGTGTTAGCCTGAAACTGAAACCTACGTGGATGGTTTTATATTGTAAAAGCTTTCACTATGACTCACTTTTGGCCTGGGGTAGGACTCCGCAATCCTGCCCAAGCTTGCAGAGCCTCCCTGTCCTGTTTCTTGGGTTCAGACCCACTCTCAAATGTTTTGCCAGTGGGCCCACGAAGTCCCTTTGGGAAACAAGTGTTCCATTGTCTCCTCGTCATCCCAATCAGTGCCGAAGGGGGCCATAAACATGGGCTTGCTTTGTGAAGACAGGCCGGCAGCAAGAGCAGGCTCTCAAGTGCAGGCTAGTGGCTCCACAAGATGGGTTTGCAGCACTGGGAGACACACAGCCTTTAGGGAAGGAATTTAAAGGAGATGTGGCTGGGAAACCCTTTCATCCTCAACACAGTGAGCCCGTTGGGAAGCTGCTCCTGCCGCAGTCCGGCCATCTGAAAGCACTGGTTGGGTTCTGCGCTCCCAAAGAGGAAGGTATAGTTGTGGGAACTGAACATCATCCAAGCATATATTGGAGATTCTTGTTTAATGGTTTGGGAATCCAGATGTGGCTATAATGTTCCCTCATAGGAAGGGAGTTGAGCTCATCCAGACCAACACCTTCTGAAAAGGCAGGTGGCTGTTCTCTCACCCAGATGAGCAGCAAACATCCCTTCATCCAAGCAACAGTCACTTGCACAGATCTGATCGGATGGGCAGACACTGGAAACAGCAGCTCTATATTCTGTCCATCTAAATTGCTGCTCACAACCTCAAGGGTTTTTGACCCCAGGAAGCGTCCCAGCTCTGCCTTCAGCTCCGATGCTCATTCCAAAGCCGAGAACAGCAAGAGACATCGGTTTCATTTCATGCAGACGTCATTAGCTTTCTGTCCGAGACAATTCAGCGGTAGAACTGTTTCTCAAATCCTAATGGTGGCAGAGGCCAGCAGTTAGTCAAAGGGGGCAAGCAGACCCAAACTCTTGCCCTCGAGGGATTTACCTCCCCACTTCAGGTGCCCAGAGTCTAGCTTTCATCATGTGCACTTTTCCAGCAGCCCTGTTACAGCCACACGTCTCTTTTCCTTCACCCGTCCCTCTGCAGTGCAGCCGCTGTGACCTTTCCAGAGCGCAAATCTGATCATGTCACTGCCTGGTGGAGGCCCCAAGACAGCTCCCTCTGACCACAGCAGCTGTCTTCAGCTGCCTGCATAACGCAGGTGTTTCTCTCGGCTGGGCTATCGCTAATACTAAGCAATGACAGTCCCCTCTCGGTTGGCAGAAAAAAATTCAGCTAATGGATGGGCTGGTCTCCATCTTAAGTATTTTCTCTCCTCATTTTCTCTCCAAGCGTCAGCGTCAGTCTCTGCTCTCATGGCTGTATTAGAATATAGTGTGGGAGTTCATCTGATTTATCCCGACAGGATTCATTTCATCACTGCTTTTTTCTCTTCTTCTTCTTCTTCCTCTTCTTCTTCTTCCTCTTCTTCTTCTTCTTCTTCTTCTTCTTCTTCTTCTTCTTCTTCTTCTTCTCATGGTCCCATTGTTCTTGGTGTTGGGCTTGACCCTCAGGCCCAGGGATGGAGGGCCAGCATCCAAAGCCCTTTCAAACTGGCTCCACAGTGTAAGCTGCTTACGCTCCAAGGCTTTGGTGAAGAGCTTTCCCTGCAAGGATGGGCTCTTCCCACTCTGCTTAGGAAATGCCTTCTTCCAGAGTTAGCGCCCCCTACAGTCTGGTGCAATAAATGTTTGTGGAATGAATGGAAAAGTTGGG